ATTCATATTCAACCAGTCCTATTCATAAATGATCTGGAAAAAGGGGTAAACAGTGAAGTGGCAAAATTTGCAGATGATAGAAAACTACTCAAGATAGTTAAGTCCCAAGCTACAAAAGGATCTCACAAAACGTGGTGACAGGGCAACAAAATAGCAGATGAAATTCAATGTTGATAAATGCAAAGTAATGCACATTGGAAAACAGAATCCCAATTATACATATAAAATGATGGGGTCTAAATTAGCTATTACCACTCAGGAAAGAGATTTTGGAGTCATTGTGGATAGTTCTCTGAAAACATCCACTCAATGTGCAGTGGCAGTCAAAAAAAGCGAACAGTGTTGGGATATCATTAAGAAAGGGATAGATAAGAAGACAGAAAATATCATATTGCTTCTATATAAATCCATGGTACGCTCACATCTTGAATACTGCTTGCAGATGTGGTCACCCCATCTCAAAAAAAGATAGATTGGAATTGGAAAAGGTTTAGTAAAGGGCACCAAAAATGATTAGGGGTATGGAATGGCTGCCATATGAGGAGAGATTAATAAGACTAGGACTTTTCAGCTTGGAAAAGGGACGAGTAAGGGGGGATATGATAGAGGTCTATAAAATCATGATTGGTGTAGAGAAAGTAAATAAGGAAGTGTTATTTACTCCTCATAACACAAGAACTAGGGGTGACCAAATGAAATGAATAGGCAGCAGGTTTAAAACAAACAAAAGGAATTATTTCTTCACACAACGCACAGTCAATGTGTGGAACTCCTAGCCAGAGGATGTTGTGAAGGTGAAGACTATAACAGGATTCAAAAAAAGAGCTAGATAAGTTCATGAAGGATAGGTCTATCAATAGTTATCAGCCAGGATGGGCAGGGATGGTGTCCCTAGCCTGTTTGCCAGAAGCTGAGAGTGGACAACAGGGGATGGATCACTTCATGATTATCTGTTCTGTTCTTTCCCTCTGGGGCACCTGGCACTGGCCACTGTCGAAAGACAGGATACTGGGCTTGATGGACCTTTGGTCTGACCCAGTATGGCTATTCTTATGCTTCATCTAGTAAGGGATAGCTTGGCCATTCTTAAGCCCTTGGCACTGCAGGATGAAAGGAAATGAACAGAGAGCAGAACTCCTTGTTTGTTCTGTATGCTTGATACAAGTGCTTTTCCGATATTCAGGGTGTGCCGCTAGTGTTCAGTTGGGTGCTGTGACCATGGGCAGAATGAAGGAAGTCAGACTCTCAGTGGAATGGATGGTTAGAGCGTTCAGCACCAGTGGTAGGTCCCACTTAGGGAAGATCGGTCTGTTAGTCTGGCCAGTCTGATTGCTCTGAGAAATCTGGATACCTGAGAGTTTTGCCAACGAGCCCAAGGATACTATTAACAGTACACTACTTAGCGCTGATATGGAGTACTACAGTGCTAGGCTGAAGGCTCTTTTCCACACCAAGTTAGCATCCATTGCTCATCACAAATCACATCAAGGGTTTGACCAAGGCAGGATCCAAATTGTCTCACTCCAAGCAAGGATTATACCCCTAGAAAATGAGCTGCTTGTTTACCATGAAGTAGGCTTTCCTTTTTAAATATATGAAAAAACTTCGGTCTGAACAGCGATAGCCTCAGTGTGCTGTGTGTCATTGTGATTGGTTCTGCCCCCCCCCCCAGGTGCCACCTGAAACTGGGGTACCACTGAGCCCCCTAACCCACTAGCCAGCCTGAGGTCCCTTTTACACTATACTGCTCTGACAAGCTGCAAGGCCCTTTCTAGCCTGCACTTTCACCAGCATATATAGTTAGGAACACATCCAGCTGCAATTACATGCAGTCAGGCTCTCTGACCAGCGCCTGCATGGGAAGGCTCCAGCTAAGGCAACCTCCCAACTCCTCAGGCAGGCACTTCCTCTGGAATGTAAACCCAAAATTATAACCTCTTGCGCTGCACAGGGAACTGTACAGCGTAAGCTCATAAAATTTGCCCCTTCCCTCAACGTGGAGAGGAATATGCTACAGCCTTTTGCCCTGAGTTATGATTCCCACACATGGGTTTAGATAGAGCAAAAATAAGTTTATTTACTACAAAAGACAGATTTTAAGTGATTATAAGTGATGGCAAACCGATCAAAACAGATTACCTAGCAAATAAACAAAAACGCAAACTAAGCTTAATATGCTAAATAGATTGGATATGAATAGCAGATTCTCACCCTAAGTGATGATACAAGCAGACTGCAGATTCTTATGGGGCAAACTGCACTTGTTTAAAGCTTGGAATCCCCAGGTGTTCCATTCACAGGCTAAAAATCCCTTTCGCCTGGGTCCAGCACTTCCTCTAGTTCAGACTTTGTTCCTCAGGTGTTTCCAGGAGTCTTCTTGGGTGGGGAGCCAGTGAAGAACCCAGTTGATGTCACTCTCCTACCTTATATAGCTTTGGCATATGGCGGGAACCCTTTGTTTCAAAGCCTGGTTCCCATGCCAGTCAGTGCAAAAATACTGACATCCCAAGATGGAGTCCAGCACCAGGTGACCTGGTCACATGTCCCTGTAGAGAGACAGCAGCCCCTCCCCCCCAACTGGCTGTTTGGAGCCACAGAAAGGCTCACCAGGTGGGAGATAAGCTTCTTCTAATGCCTCTTGTTTCTTCCTAATGGCTCATTAATCTGAATGGGCCCTTCCCAGCCAGTCATCTAGACTGAGAACGTTTTGCCTAGTGGGTGTTGCCCAGGAATAGCTACATGTGAAATAGATATATAGTCAATATTCATAACATTGGATACAAAAATGATTCATGCATACAAATAGGATAATCATATTCAGCAAACCATAACCTTTCCAATGACACCTCACATGCTTATCTTACATAAAATGCGTCATAATTATGATATAATTATATTTGTCTAATATCACTATGAAGAATATTCGGTGCAATGATACAGTCATCACTGTAGGGTCTTTTGGAAGGAAGTCCCCTTCTGAAGGTGTGACCTTGTCTTTCACTGGTGAAGATACTGCTGCGCCAATCTTAGACTCCCAAACCGTATTGTGGTTTAATCAGGTATCCTCATTTGGCTCTTATGATAACCTCAAAAGAAGCAACAATGGAAAACATGCATCACAATAATGCTCACAAGGAGAGATATTGTATTGACATTAAATAAGTTCCTTGCAGGCCACTGACTGATATCCTGTCTTTGAAAAGTCTTGTAGGTTGTTGCTGGTGTGGGTTTTTGTTTGTTTGTTTTGTATGTGTGGTACTTCTTCCCCTGACCATTTACAGGGGGGACGTAGTATATTATTCATCCTGGTCTGGGGACCACACACCAGAGGAGGGGTACTGACACATATACACAATGTGAAAATGTCTTGTTAGCTGTCCCTGCGAGCCTGAAAGGCTGCCTGCCTGCTACCCCAGGCTGGCTAGCACCCAAGTGCTGTAGGCGCAGTCTAGTACCACTTGGAGCTTTGATCAGGAAATCAGGATCATTCTGAAAATGGGAAGGATTTCTCACTTACCCCTTTGTAATCCCACGAAGGTGCAGTTTTATGGTGAGTGGAATCCTCAAATGCCTCTGTTTTGGTCACAGGCTCCCTGAAGTGCACAAAGCTTTAACATTGAGCCAGCCTTTTGCTTTTTTGGGACCCAGAGTCTCTGGGGTTTGCGGTATTTACCCTATAGTACCATAGTACTAGTATATAGTATAATCCCCCGATTCACAGTCCGAGGAAGGGGAGCTGGGTAGGAGCCCTGCTTCTCTCCCCAGGGATTCTAGGACCCACTTTCAGACTTGTGGGAGGGGACCAGTAGCCCAGAAAGGGTCTCTTCTTTATGGTTCTTTGTTGTCGCAGGACTTACCCCAGTTGTCTGGATAAAGTCCTCCTCATCCTCAGAGCCTCTCCCTGTTCTGCTCTCTCTCCCCTGGTTGGGTTTTTCTGCAGTGGAGTCGCAGCTACTTGGGGGGTGGGGGATAGAGGTCCCAACCTGCCTGTCTGACTTAGAGCCCTGTGCCCTTGCAGAGATAGGGTCAGCTGGCTGGCTGCCTGGTGCTTGCATGGCTGCTCTGCCAGGCCTGACAGGGGGCAGAGGAGCTCAGTGGGATGCATGCAGCAGAGGTGACAGGTGGCTATGATCACCATGCTCCCAGATGCTGGTACTTGCATAGCTGCTGTGTCATGCCTTGAAAGGGAGCAGATGAGCTTGGCAGGGAGGTGCTACAGTGCAGGGCCGGCTCCAGGCACCAGCTTACCAAGCAGGTGCTTGGGGCGGCCGCTCGGGAGAGGGGCGGCACGTCCAGCTATTCGGCGGCAATTCGGCGGAGGGTCCCTCCTGCTCGGAGCAAAGGACCTTCCGCCGAATTGCCGCCGCAGATCATGATTGCGGCTTTTTTTTTTTTTTTTTTGGCTGCTTGGGGCAGCAGAAACCCTGGAGTCGGCCCTGCTACAGTGAGGCTTGAAAACAAACAATTTAACCACTCAAAACAATGAATCTACAAGAAAAGGATGGGAGCGAAGCAAACCACCATTTGACTGCTGTCACGGAGACAGAAGATCTAGCACCAAGCAGGAAAACGGGATGTGGCTAGCATAGGCTGTGCTGCAGTTTATGGAAACTTTGGACAGGAGAGGAATAGCCCATTCATATCAGAATTGTGGGAGACACTGGGTAGCAGAAAGAGGGACTGAAAATGGCAAGAGGGGGAGAAGAGGAGGCCAGAATGGAGCAAAAGCTCACGTCCTAGCTGACAGGTCAATACTTAGGAAAGTGGTAAAAGATTCAGTTGGATTCTTTGTATTTTTAAATTGTTGGAATGAGGTTCATTTTACTTAACTGTCCAATTGTAAAGTTAATGCAAAGTAGACAAAACGAATGGGAAAGAACAGAGATTTACACAGCTTAGAATGTATTTGAGAAGCGTTTCTTATTCTGCATCTATTTCACAGTTCTCAAGTTGTCTTTGGTTAGAAATCTGAAGACTGAAGCAACATATGTAAACAAATGAAAAGTCATCACAATCAGTTTAATGAAGTGCACAGAATAGCGATTGATCATGTCAATAAAAATAAAACAATTAATTTTACATCAAGTGTGCTTTATTTCCTCCACAGGTATTCTGTTAAATAAAGCACCATATAGATACTGCCAGGCCACAGCTAAAGAGGATTCTTTACAGAATCAAATTTCTTGTGGTTGTTTAGTATACAAGTAAACTTAATTTTGATAATAAGAACCACAGCGATCTGAGGCAATCTGCCTCTATTATAAGGTACAAAACTGGCACAGAGGACACCATATTATACACAGTAAAAATGCCATAAGTTTAAATTACATCATACAGGGCAAGGAGGCCCTGTTCTCCCATACAGCCATATTAAATGAAAGCCACTACAGTGAACTCTTAATTACATAAAACATATCCATTATCTGATTGCCCTTTAAGAAAAGTACGGTAGATGCAAAAAATGTTTTAATCTGGAGTTCTGCCTGACCAAGAATTAAGCATATAAATCTATCTTGCCATTCAAGCAGAGAGCACTGGACAAACTGAAGCACAAAACAGAAATAAGCAAAACTTATACAAACAGCATTTTTGGGGGAGGGGGAAAAAAAAAAAAGACTTAAAAGCAGACATGCTCCATCTAATGTCAAGAAGCAGCTTGGTTTCCTTTGCCAGATATCCTTGTGACCACATGAATCGTAGACTCAATGGTCCTACACAGGATGTCTAAAATGTCATGCTGCTGCATGTGACTAAAAAGTCCTCTGGAATGGCCACAACTGATTGGTAAACTATTTTCAGGGTCCTGGGATGGTAAGGCTTGACCATCGCAGCCTCTTAGATCTGCTAGGTCAGATAAAACTGCTGAAATTGATGTGGAGGGGAACTCTGAGTCATCCTCAACTGCACTGGGTTCCTTGGAACTCTGCAGATCTTTAAATTCCTTGCACTCTTCAAATTTACCATTGCCTGACTGCTCTTCTGTGTGTTGTGACCTGGTAGTTAACATCATGTCTTCTGAAAAGGAAGATGGAACTTCCATTCTATATTCTTTAACAGAACTATTTTCAGGGGAAGGAGGATCTTGTTCAGTGCCAGGATCAATGATAGAAGAGTCTCTTGTCTCATTATCTGAAGTGCTTGTTGGAGTCAATGCCTCCCTTGGTTCAGTTTTCATATCACTGATGCAGCTGTCTACAGTATGCTCCTCATCGCTGCTAACCCGTCTTCTTTTTACAGGAGTAGCTCCTTCATCATCTGTAAAACCAACATACAGTTTGCAATGAAGTACATTTATCAGATTTGTTTTATATTTACATTCAAGTCTCGAGGTCTTTTATTTAATGTTTTTCACTTTCAAAAACTCTTCTGTATGTAGGCAAACAGCGCTCACTAGAGATCTCCTCAGAGGCTCATCAGATTGGAGAGATTCATTAACTAACTGCCTGCTTAAAATTTCACTTCCTTAGATTCTTGTGTGTTGCATTAGGGATTGGAATCAGCAAATCTGAAGCTCCAGTGTTAAGCGGGTAACGTAAGATCTTTACAGCAAGGACTGTCTTTTTTGTTCTGTGTTTGTACATCACCTAGAGTCATGGGGTCCTGGTCCATGACTAAGCTCTACCACAATACAAATAATAAATAATGATAATAATGATATAATGATAATAAATAATATTTTTTTGTTTGTTTAAATAGATTTCATTACATAACCTCTCTTTAATATGCTCAGATTTGTAAAAGGTTTTCCTCTCCACACTAAGTGTAATTGTTCTGGTCCAAGGAAGTAATCCTGGTCCCACTGAGGTCAATGGTAAAACGCCTTTTGATTTCTATGCAACCAGGATTTCACCCCGTGTGTTCTGGATTGACAATGCATAATGTTATGTGTACAGCATTATTAGTTTGGATGATACTGTACAGAAAAAAAAACAGGTCCCTTACCTGAGAAGTTTACAAACTAGTTTACACATGACAACAGGGAGAAATGGGAGTGAGAAGCATCACACAAAGGAAACCGATAGGTGAGATTTACATACTATAGCCTCATGAGGTTATTTATTGCATCACACACATACAGTGTCAGTTCCTATTAGTTTATCTCATTTCAGTATGCAAATTCGTCAAAATTAGGATTGTGCTTTTTTCTCTTCTTTTTATGGCACGGGAGTGGAGTCAGCACTAGAAGGCTAGTCCAAGGAAGTGGGTGTTAGAATATTTTAAAAGGGGAGGTAGGTTCCATAGTTAGCAGGTTATTTTAGACATAGGGATGATACGGGAGAAAGATACAAAAACAGTCTCAAGGCCAGTGGAGCTGGCATAGCAGAGTATGGGGGACGGGAGTGGTAGGGGATGAAACGAGAGAAGTAATATGAGGAGCTTTGAAAGTGAGGACAAGATTTTAATTTCATGCTGCAAATGTGAACCAGTGACGGGGGTGATATAGTAAGAGCAATGGGCAAGAAAAATTATTTTAGCAGAAGTATTTTGGATTATCCAGAGGGGTGCAAGGCAGGAGTCTGGTAAACCAGAGAGGTGGTGGTTGCTCTAGTCTAACTGGGAGATTTCCATGGTATGGACCAGAATCTTGGTGGTACAGCCTGAGCTGGAGATATAAGGAGGAAGAACTGGCAGGATATAGCAACAGCGTGGATATGCGAGGTAAAGGAGAGGGAGTTGAAGATTACAACAAGGTTATAAAAGGCACACCTTTAGTTTTTCTTTCTTTGGCTTCTTGCTCTTGTAATGAGTTCCTTTGTTGTTGACAAGCCCTGCATTTGTTTAGCAGATCTTGCAAAGTTGGAATCAGGGCCGAATTCAGCTGCTTAGGGGTGTGCACTGAAAGCAACAAAGCAAGTGCTCGAAGGTCCTAGAAACACCATAAACAAACACGATTACTAAAATACTTCAAACTTTATATTTACATTAATCCTACACACACACTATCTACAATTGAAATAGGTTGATTTGTGTAATAAGTAGAGATACACAGATACCAGATGTTCTGAACCCTTTTCTGCTTCCAACAGAATAGATTCCTAAACTTTGTTTACACTATCGAAATTTCTCAAAACTTTCCCACTAGTATTAGCAATGTCCTTAACGTAGACAAAGACCTACTGTGAAAAAGTTGACAATATTAAGTTGTACACTACAGAATTAGCCCCCTTGGTTAGGATTTCTTAATGCTTAATTCCAATGTGTTTTACACTAATTCTGAACAACAAAACAAAACACACTATGGTTGCCAACCTGACCGTGGAAAACCCAGCAATAGTTTAGGAAATTTTGTGTCCTGTAGAAGTGGCACTGAATACGGAGAATTAACAAAATGTAGAATTACTTGAGTGTTTCTGTCAACCCCCAGCTATTTCATACCACTGCTGGTATCTAAGCTCTGGGAGTAGAGGATTTTGCATGTGCACTGATTTCCTGTGTGAACAGTGCGCTCTGCATGTTGAGAATGCTGAAAAGGTTGTTCCACTTTTAGTCTCCAGACCATTCATTAAGTGTGGGCTCCTAAACCCAAAAGAGCCTGTCGCTGGGGGCACTGTAAGATATCACAATATACATTGGACTGTCTACATTATTCTGTTACGTAAACTTTAGCAAATCCCACTGGTTAAGTTACTAATACTGGGTCTAGACCAGTGTTAATTAAAGTATGTCACTGATCTCTTTTCGATGGTGCTGACTTTTTGTATCAATGAAGAACAAGTAAAATGAAGAAAAAGGAATAATTCCTTTTTCTTGTAGAACCAATTTCACTTAGAACAGTGGAAACAGAATTTTTTATTCATTACTAAATATTCAATAGATGGGTGAGACTTTTCTGAATGGAAGTTATGTAACAAGAAAGGAATATTAAGAATTTTTTAAGATGCTGTATAGATGAGGGGGGAAAGACCAAAGGCACGGAGTCTAAAGGTGATCTAAGATATCAACCTAGATCCAATGCATCTGTAACTAGGGTGAGAATAGGCTGTGTAGGGGCAAAGGGAACCCCCTTCCAAACATTCCTAGGTTTTATCTACCAGTTCAGAAAGGATAAGAACTGAAGGGGTACCTGAACCACCATGTCTATATGACGATGGGCCATTGAATACATAGAGGCCATCCAACCTTGCAAATGCTTGAAGTGCAGTCTGTAGCTGTACCACATAAGTACCACCACATGTCCTAGAACTTTGAGGCAGTTCTGAACTGTGAAGGCAGAAGGGCCAATAGTATGGAGGTGGGATGCAGTTCTGAGAAGGCCACTGACTCCTAAAATGCTGAGGTGGACAGACACTCCACTGGAGCTGTTGGGCAAACTTACATCGGGACACAATAGATCTGACTTCTGAGTCCAATGAGGAGTCCATTTCCTCCAACTATGGGGGAGATGAACTCATCAGTATCAGGGAGTGGGGCTGTGAGTCTGGAAAAGGGGGAACCAATGAAATCATCGCTGGCTTGCCTCTAGATGTAATCCTACGGAGAGGAACCGTGAGCATAGAAGTGACCAGTACCAAGTGATGCTCTGGGGCTTGAGTCGGGACCGCAAGAGCATGTGGTTCCAAAGTTGGTTCCTTGTGAGGCTCTTGAATCATGGGAGAAGCCGGTACCAACAAGCTGAATAACTCCCTGGCTGCCTTAAATGCCTCGGGTGCCAACGGCACCAGAAGGGGTTCTTGAGCCTGCAGGACCGAGAGGTGCGTTGATGCTTCAGGGACTGGTCTAAATGGACTCTTCCTGGGTTCCAAAGTCAGCAATCCCTGCTGGCTCACAGACTGCTCCTGGGGGTGTGATTTTTTAGGGCACCCCTATGAGTTCTTGTGAACACTTGGCGCTTTCCTGTTGGAAGGTTCTGGTACTGAATCCCTCGGAGACATATGCAATCTTTTCTTAGGCACCGGCAATACAAATCTGGTTGATGACTTCGTAAGAACAGGAGGAGAACTCCTGATAGACATGGACGTGCTTGGTACCCACTCAGAGCGGGTGGGTTCTGATGGTGGATGAAGTGCAGAATCCACGAGCAGGTACTTGAGTCTGGCAGCCTTATCCTTTTTCGAATGATGTTTGAACAAATGTGATATTTGTCACTCACACGCACCTCTCTCAGACACTTAAGGCAGCTGGAAGGAGGATCACTCACTGGCATAGACACGTTACATGAATGAAAGGCCTTGAAGCCAGGAGAATGGGGCATCAGTTTGGTATCAATCCCGGTACCCAGTCAGGGACTGGTAACCCCACACTAAAAAGACATTGTAAACTTATACTATTTACAGAATTACTATATAAGACTAAAACTAATATTACAGGTACTACATACACCGAGGGAGGAAAGATATGAAGAAACAAAGATCGCAGCTCCAACAACCATCATCACTGACAGTAGGAAGGAACTGAGAGGTGTTGGGGTCAGTGCGGCCCTTTATATCTGTGTGCAGTGGTAAGAGGTACCAGAGGGAATTCATACTGCACTGACAGGTACCGCTAAGGGAAAAATCTTTGACAACTGTGCACAAGGCATGCACACACCTACAGTGGAATGGAAATGTGGAATCACTTGAAGAAAAATTTGTTTTATTGTGAGAAAGTGGCCCAAGGAAAACAGCCCTGGAATTCTTGGAACAAGATTTGGAGAGTTTACCTTTTATGGTTGATGAAATATGCAAAGTGAAATAAGAATAGAACAGGCGCTTCCTAAGCTTCTTTAATGTTTTCCTACATTTTTCAATCTTTGGGATGATCTAATGTCTGTTTCAGAGAAATAATCAGCGGTGTTGGGTGGAGGCAGAGATGGTAAACTCTTTTTCCATATAATCACAGGTGGGACTCAGGAATGACTTTTATCAGATCTTGACTCCACTCACAGCAAGGAGGTGCCTGGGGCTGGAGTGACAGCAGCCTACCCATATGATGCAGAGAAAGAGAACAAGGGGAAACAGAAAGTGAAAAAGTAGGTAGCAGAGAGCTAAAAAAGACTGATAGAAGAATTTTGAAGAGATCAGAATGGCATTCCAGAGCTATCTGCCTATCTCCTTAACAGAGCAGAGATTTCTAGCAGGGAGTTGGTGAGCAGCCCCCTTATCCAGGGTTCAACCTGATGGACACCTCCAGCTGTCTCTGACCAGTTGGCAAAGAGGACCCTGCCTATGCATATAGTTTCAATCAATATGTCCACTCTCTAAGGCAAATCCTCACTCTGGATACAATCTACTGAAACTCTGCCATAGAAAGGAAACTTGTTTTTAAAAGGTTTTATTATTTTAATGGCTTTGAAAAATCTTACCCCATTTAAGGTAGAGCTTGCTTTGGAAATTTCAACTCGATGGCTGCTGAAATCGGATTCTAGGCTTTGATATTGATTTATTAGATTTGTAACCAGAGTATTGATTAAATTGGCACAGTTTGCTTCAGAAAACACCTGCCCCTGGACCTGTAAGAGAACACATTTATTTCAAAGCTCTGAAGACTTGAATTGTGCAAAGTAATATCCTAAACTAATGTGATGTATAACAACTGCATTTCCATTAAATATGAACACTTAAAATACCACATACCTTTAGAAGAAAGTGCGTCAAGAATGTGTACACAATATTGTTGTTAAGAAAGGTTCTTTCATCCATTAGAATACATTTAATATATTCTGCAAAAACTGGATCTTCACACAGGAGTTTAATACAGTTCTTTGACATAGCAGACTAAAGAGGAGAGAAAAATACTTTGCAATTTAATGCTGCAAAATTAGCACTGAAATTATGACACTAGTGAGAGCATTGTACATAATTATCTATTAAGGGTAAATGAAAGAATAGGCACCATCTGGAATAATGCCTGCAACATTAATTGTCATGAAAACTAACTAACTGGGTCTACTAATCCAATTAATTCATACTGAAAATGTTTGCCTGTCATTAATGAAAATAAACTACTACTAAGGACAAAAAGAAATTAATTTGCAAAAAGAACAAGGAGTACTTGTGGCACCTTAGAGACTAACAAATTTATTTGAGCATAAGCTTTCGTGGGCTAAAACCTACTTCATCGGATGCATGCAGTGGAAGATACACTAGGAAAATACATATACACAGAGAACATGAAAAAATGGGTGTTGCCATACCAACTGTAATGAGGGTAATTAATTAAGGTGAGCTATTATCAGCAGAAGAAAAAAAACTTTTGTAGTGATAATCAGGATGGCCCATTTCCAACCGTTGACAAGAAGGTGTGAGTAACAGTAAGGGGAAAAAATTAGCATGGGAAAACAGTTTTACTTTATGTAATGAACCATCCACTCCCAGTCTTTATTCAAGCCTAATTTAATGCTGTCTAACATGGCTACCACCCTGAAATTAATCTGCGTTCTTTGATTCACCTCATTTTATGTGAGGATGGAAGTTTGTCAGGAGTAGTGTGTATTTAGTGAGATCCAGCTCCCCTGGTCTCCAAAGCAACTACTGCCCCCTCTTCTGTGGGTATAAAGGGCCCTCCGGCAGTGGCACTGGTAGAGATCTGCTGCAAGAGGGGACAGGAGCCAGATCTCGGGAGGTCTCAGCCATGAATAATGATAGAAATGTAACTTAACAGTTTTTATGTTCATGAACTATAGTAAAGAGGGGTTACTCACCAGTAATTGTTGTTCCTGAAGAGCATGGACTCTGCATATTCACATTTGTGTGATATGGTGCCTCTGGCATTGAGCTGTGGAATATTACTATCGAGCACTAGTTGGAGCCACTAGTTCCTCCATCTCCCCGCCCAGAGGATTGGAGTAGCCCCAACTATCCTTCAGTCTGTTCCCTAATTTAGGAATTCACTACCTGAGACTCTGAAGAAGTGGGGAAGGTGGGCAGAAGGTGTGACTATGCAAAGGCTACATTCCGGAAGAACAGTTACTTGTAAGTAACCCCCCTTTCTACTTCGAGTGGCCTCTGCATAGTCCCGCTCATGAGAGATTAGCAAAGAGTACAACTCTTAGGAAATTCAAGGTGAACAAGGAGGGTGGTAACTACCAAAACGAGCATCAGCTCTAGATGGCAGGTCAAGAGAATATGCTGGCTACCAATCCACTCTCCCATGAGGCCTCTGTGAGGTCATGAGACACATATAGAGCTACAAGCAACAGCTTGGAAATGCTGTGAAAAAGGCCAGCAACAGGTGCTGCCTTTGGGTTCATCGGATATCTTTTGATATATGCAGGTGAATGAACAGCTGACAAGTCTTAACGAGGGTGTAAAAGAGAACTGAGGAAACAGACAAGTTAGTGGTCTGTTTTAGATGGAAATGGAGATGATTTAAGACTCCAAATGGGGATTGAGGGCACTAACCATGTCACACTTCTCATATGGACTCCTGTTTATAGAGAACTGGCCATTTGGTATGTATCTAACGAAGTCCAGGAAGTAGCTATGGATATGAGAAGTTCCTCTTCTACACTGTGTGGTACAGATGATAATCTGACAAATAGAAGACCAGAGATCCAGAGAGCTTTGAGAAAGAAAACTCCAATTCCAATTGAAAAGAAATTCATACACTACAGGGAATAACCCCGGAATGAACACCACCCACTGTAATACTCACAACACAACAATAAAGAAATCCAGATTCCTTAGTGCAGTCATGAAGGCAAAGCAGTAAGCAACCCTACTGGTCCATGGAGAAATGCTTCAATAAACTAGGGTATTACAAAGTGAGGGAGGCCCACTGTCCCAGGCATCTGAAGGAAGCTGAAATCAGAACCCCTGCTATTCGTAACATGGTCCTGGATTGTTCAAAAATCTAGAAGTCAGGGTACCAACCCTGGACAATTCAGGATCAGGTGGAGAGTCTTAATCCAACCTAAACACAAAGATCTAGTAATCTGGAAAGTGGTGCTAACATCAGACACAGGACACTTGAACCAAACTGCCAAGATTCTATTACAGTTATTGCAACATCTTGGCTGAGTCTCATCTGATCTGCAGACAGATCTCCTGAACCACTGGAACTAGAGGGAATATGTAGTGGAATTTCTGATTCCATTTAAGAAACAGATTTTGCCAGTGACACTGGCTTTTGTCTGACCCTGAAGTAGAGCTTGAGATAAGGGGTGTTGGGCTTGGTAATGAACAGGCCTAGTCTGGACTTTCCCTTTATATAATACCTGGTGGAGACCTGAGACAGACATTGGTACTCTTGGCAGATGAGTTTCTGGTCTTGATCAATGGGAGAAAGTCTTACAGATTAGACAAACTGTTTTCAACTCCAGAACCCTAAAGTAGAAGCTTTAATTTCCAACAGTGACCATATTCTATAAAAGGGTTGAGAACAAGATGACCATCTTACTCCATCTGGAAATATCCCTGTCCATAGTAAGAAAGGAAGGAATCTCGTGATGAACGTGTTATCTTTACCGTCTGCATCTCGAATGGCCCAGCTGTAAGTAGCATCAATAAGGTATGTTTCCCTTTGTAATTAATCTTATGGAGGCCATACAAAGGCCTGGAGAAAAGGTATCACCAGTTATACTGATAAGGATCCTGTCTGTAGACCAAAGTCTAGATACAGACATTTTTGCATGAATGATTTGATGTCTGAGACAGTTAGGACAGGTTAGCAGCGTTCTCAATTTTTTTAATGTTGTTTTAAAAGCAAAGTATCTTGTGGATACTTGTGATTAATTGGAGTGATATAACAGAGCTGGATTTTGTTGCATGAAAAGGGTTGATATAATGCCAATGCCACCTTACAGATAGCAGTTTGCCGTATAGCGTTGCTGTACCGTTTCTTTATTTTTCGGACTGAAGAAAGACTCTGCTAACTAACTGTTAATCTAACTAGAAAGAAAATAGCCCCAAAAGGCAAAATCAAAAGAGAAATGGTCAAGAAAAGCACTGAGGACACTGGGCGTGATTTGAGCTCACTGAAAGAAAAAGCAACAGGTTGGGCCACTCGCTCCTTTATACCCCTGGCATCCTTTGCAAGGGAGGGGAAGGAGCAAGCAGCCCCAAAACATAGTGCTCACTAGAAAAATTCTGCAGCTGAACGCCAGAGGTGCCATATCCCCCAAGTGGGAATATGCAGCCATTGTGTCAGTAGTGTTACCGCTGTGTCAGCATTTCCACTAAAAACTGCGTATCTTCATGATTTTAGAACTTGGGTTATATACATCTCTTCAAGCCTGCAACTTGACAAGTAATCTAGGGTAATTTAATTTTTTTAAACTTTATTTGAAAAAAGTCTGTAGTTGTTTTCACATAAGCGCAGGAGTGCTGATGGGTGTCCTGGACAAATTCTAACTTAGGTAAGTATATTCTAATTACCTAAATTCCTCCTGCACTTTCAACTGGGTATGGTATTCTTCACTCCCTATCCTAAACTGTTGGGTGAAATGGTTATATGCTATTAAAAAATTCTATTCTAGATCTACAGATTAGATTTATTGATCTTTTATATATATATTGCACTCTTCGTTGTGATATTTGGGTATACTACAACTCTGAAGAGGCTGGATTTCAATGGTGGGCGAAGCAATCTCTATCGACAAGCACAAGCTCCAAGCCTACTAATATTTATGCATGTGTGTAAAGTTAGTAGCATACAAAAGTGTTTGCAGGATCAGGGCTATACATATCTGCATATCAGTTAGCTTTTTTTTTTTTTTTTTATTAAAGATCCCTCAGGATAAAAGTCACAATATAAACACAAGGTGTTACTAATTGTTAACATTTAATTTTAAAAATGTTAAAGTTGTGAACAAATTAACAACACCCAATACATTTAAAGTGTACTGAATTTAATTAGTAATTAGTCTTATGAATTGCTGTTTAAAAAGTAACTAGCTTTAAAACATTTACAGTTGTCACATCTTGTAAATATTCTTGTTCAGTTAGTTCTCAAACCCATTTAAATTTTACCTGAGTCTGGCACAGCTCAGTCCAAAGTTTGGGAAACAATGCAAGATGAAGTGGTAAACCTTCATAAGCAACGAGGACACCTGAAATGTTAAGAGAAAACAAAACTGATGACATAAAGAACTACCTAAAACTGATCTTTGTAGGATATATTTATTTTTTGACCTGAATAGTTTTGAAGCACCAAACAAATTCAGAGGACTATATCCTAAACCAATTACATATGACCACAAAGGTCTAGCATCTAGAATGGTTTTTATAGTACAGTTAGTCAACAGAACAGGACTTTGTTCTACATTTTTACCTGCTGAGTCTAAAATGTAGCATCTGATCTCAGTGTTGTTTTCTTTTAATTCTTTAGCTGGAACAATTTATCAGTTTTCTTATTTTTTGAGAAACAAAGCAGCATGAGCACAACAAACAGATTTGAAATTTCTTAAGCTTCATCTTCACCTCAAGCCACAACTTTATCTACATACACTTAATGAAACATTGGCTAGGTAACACAGTGATCAATAGCAAAGGTTACACATTCTTGATAAACACTTCAGCAGAAAAATCCCACACTAAATAGTAATTTTGCTGTGTGGTTCATGGCTTGAACAAAGAATGAGTGGGTGACTCAATGGCTTAATTAATTCCTACCTGTAAAAGCCAATCCACACTACCTCCATAATTTTGTAACTAGTCAGAAAGATAGCTCTTATCAGTTACAAAGAAACTCTCCTGACAACATAACCATGTTTGTGTATCTACACCTATCATGCTACCTAACTATATTGTATTGTGAGAAAATCTGAGTAGTTATTCCAGAAGATGCACACACAGAGCACCACTCGTATGTGTGGCAATTCACTTTAGGATGTCCTACACAGAGAGAGCTCGGATGAAGAAGGACTGCTGAACTCGTTAGACAGGCAGAGTAAAAAAATTAGTGTCCTGGAATTTTTATAGAAAGACTACTCTAGGCCTCTGGCAAGGGTGAAACACAGCTGCCATGTGTGGAGGTAAAAACCATTTTCACTAGATGAGTTCAAACTCAGCTAAAAGTTATAGTGTGGTCAGGCCGTAACTCACTAACTAGAATCAGGCCCAGGTCTATAGTGACAGAGTTGGTGCCCTCTGATGGCTCTTTGGTTGCTTATGTAAAATGAATTGGTGGTCTCAATTCAGCTACTACTACACAGATGAGGCGTCCACATCCCAGAAACCACTGTCAGAGTTGGCACTAATTGGCACACTTGTTAGCAGTCTCAGCAAGGCTGAGGATTAAGGTCTAGATTTGTAAAGGTATTTAGGTATTGCTGTGCTCAGCTCTGCAATACAGAACTGATTCAGGAGCCTAAATCTGATTTTCAAAAGGGATTTAAGCATTTTGGAGCCTAAATCCAATTGACTATCAATATACTGAATTATATTTTAAAAAGTAAGTACATAGTTTCGCATAATTGCCACTACAAAACATCTCAATGACTAAGGAAGTCTGTTTAGGTAGGATTTACTGTTTAACTGCCATACTTACTCATCTTAACTAAAGTTTCGGTAAACTTTTCACAGTTGATTGCAACTCGACATAATAGATGAATGAACTGATGATACGAAAAGAAGTAGTCTAGAAGCATACGATCATAAACATCATCTTTACCCTGAAGATTTAAGAAGACAATTTATAAATAGATTAAGTTTAAATTAAGCAACTGGGCAACTACTTGACATACCTAAAAATTTAGTTAATGAGCTGTAAGTTTTCTATGCATTTAATAATATACTGCTGTATAACTTGATGAGAATTTCCAAACCTAACTCAAAACAGATGTGATGTGAATAAAATTAGATGCTAATTTGCAGATCAGTGTACATACATTCAGTTTTTAAAGGGCATATCAATAACCAGATTAATATCTGTTTGCAACACACAAAACGTTCTTTAAAGACAGTTTTATAGATGGGCCCTAACAAATTCACTGCCATGAAAAACATGTCACAGACCGTGAAATCTGGTCTTTTGTGTGCTTTTACCCTATACCAGGGGTTGGCAACCTTTGGCACCTGGCCCATCAGGATAAAGGTTTATTTGGAGTGTTCGCAGGCACGGAGCCCCGCAGCTCCTACTGGCCATGGTTCGCCGTTCAGGGCCAATGAGAGCTGCGGGAAGCAGCACTGGCCGAGGGACATGCTAGTCGCCGCTTCCCACAGTTCCCATTGGCTGGGAACGGCGAACCGCAGCCAGTGGGAGCTGAGGGGCTCAGTGCCTGCGGATGCTCCAGATAAACAAACTGTCCTGTCCACGGCTTTACCCTGATGGGCTGGGTGCCAAAGGTTGCCGACCTCTGCCCCATACTATACAGATTTCACGGGGGAGACCAGCGTTTCCAATTAGGTGACTCCCAAGCCATACCTAGGTGGTGGGGTCAGAGTTATAGAATCGCTGATTGGAGCACTGCTCTGCCGAAAGCTGCATCATCTCTGGCATGCTGAATGGTGACATAATGAGAGATGAACATATGCACCGAGGACCAAGTTGCTGTCCTGCAGATTTCTTGTATCAGGGACTTGGGCCAGGAACGCCTCCAGTGAGGCCTGTGCTTTAAGTGCCGGCTCGTAGCACATATGGATGCAGGACGTGATCCAGCAAGATATTCTTTGAGATGAAACTGGGAGACCTTTCATCCGGTCTGCCACCACTACGGACAACTGGTTTGACTTCCTGAACGGCTTAGTGCAATCGATGTAGAAGCTAGTGCCGGCCGAACATCCAGGGAGTGCAGACTCTGCTCACAGCCACTGGTATGAGGCTTAGGATAAAAAACAGGCAGGAAAATGTCCTGACTAGTGTGGAAGTGCGACACAACTTCAGTAAGAAAGGTCGGGTGACGTTGGAGTTGCACCTTATCCATGTGGAAAACTGTATAGGGTGGATCGGAGGTAGGGGCCTTTAACTCAAGACACCCTCCTTGCTGATGTAATGGTGACCAGAAAGGCTACCTTCCACGACAGATAGAGAAGGGAGCAAGTCGCCAGCAGTTCAAATGGGGCCCCCATCAGTCTGGAGAGGACCAGGTTAAGGTCCCACATGGGAACAGGCTGTCTAATCTGGGAATGTAGCCATTCCTGACGCTTGAGAAACCGGCCAACCATAGGGTTGGCGAAGACGGAGCATCCAAGCTGAGATAGCAGCGAGATGTACCTTTATGGATGACACTGCCAGGCCTTGCTGTTTCAGGTGCAGAAGGTACTCTAAGATGAGAGGCATTGGTGTTTGAAGTGGGGGTGTATTACACTGGTCACACCAGCAAGTAAACCTTTTCCACTTTGCCAGATATGAGGCCCTAGTGGTGGGCTTCCTGCTGCCGAGTAAGACCTCCCTAACTTGTTCCAAGCACAGAAGCTCCATGGGGTTCAGCCATGAAGCTTCCAGGCAGTGAGGTGGAGGGACTGCAGGTCAGGGTGATGAAGATGACCGTAGTCCTGAGTGATCAGGTGGGGGAGGAGTGGCAATGTGATCGGGGTGACCATCGACAGTTCCAGGAGCGTGGTGTACCAGTGTTGTCGAGGCCACGCTGTTGCCACCAGAATTATCTCCGCCCCATCCCTGCGTAACTTGAGTAGGACCCTGTGCACGAGTGGGAACAGGGGAAAGGCATAGAGCATGCAGCCTCCCCAGGGTAGCAGGAATGCATCTGTGATTGAGTCTGGGCTGTCTCTGGAAGGAGCAGAACATTGGGCACTTTCTATTGCTCTGGGTGGCGAACAGATTGACCTGGGGAAACCCCCACCTTTGGAAGTATATGACATCTGGCTGGATGGACCACTCGTGGTTGTGGAAAGACCTGCTGAAGTGGTCCACCAATGCGTTCTGAACTCCTGGTAGAGAGAATGCTTCCAGGTGAATGGAATGGGCTATGCAGAACTCATATAGCTGGAGGGCTTCCCGCCACAGGGGAGAAGAACGGGCTCCACCCTGCTTGTTGATGTAAAACATGGCAGTGGTGTTGCCGTCATAACTGCCATGCACTGGCCTTGTAGTTGGGCCTGAAAGATTTGGTATGCTAGTCACACTGCCCTCAGCTCCTTGATATTGATATGAGAGAGAGCTCGTCCTGTGACCAGAGGCCCTGTGTTTGGAGGTCTCCCAAATGCACGCCCCATCCCAGAGCTGACGCATCCGTTACCAGGGACAAGGGGGGCTGGGGGCTGCTGAAGGGACTCTCACACACTGTCTGAGGGTCAAGTCACAGTTGGAGGGACTCGAGTACTTGCTCTGGCACCGTGACCAGAGCTCAGGCTGTCGCACCCCGGGCGATAGGTCGAAGTGAACCATGCCTGGAGTGGCCTGAGCCTCAGTCTGGCGTCCCGGACCACGTAAGTGCAGGCTGCCATGTGGCCGAGGAGACTCAGGCATCCCCTTGCTGCAGTGGTCGGGTACTGCCTGAGGCCTTAAATGATGTCTGCCATGGTTTGCCTGAACTGAGTCCAACACTGCCCCGATTAACTCAATTTTTTGAGTCGGTGATAAGGTTGACATGCTCATGTTGAGGAGGAGCCCCAGTCTCTTGAAAGTGGATCTGATTAATCGGACTTGGGACTCCACCTGTTCCCTGGTGCGCCCCCTGAGCAGCCACTCATTGAAGTAGGGGTATACCTGCACCTGCCTCCTTCGGAGGAAGACTGCTACAACTGACATGCACTTGGTGAACACTCGGAGAGCTGTTGACAGGCCGAAGGGAAGGACCGTGAAAGGATAATGTTTGAGATCGACCACAAACTGAAGGAATCGTCTGTGTGCAGGTCGAATAGCTATGTGAAAGTACGCATCTTTCATGTCAAGGGCGGCATACCAGTCTCCCAGATCCAGAGAAGGGATAATTGTATGCATGTGGAACTTCAACTTTATCATGAACTTGTTGAGTCCTCGCAGGTCTAGAATGGGTCTGAGACCCCCCTTGGCCTTGGGGATTAGAAAGTATCAGGAATAGAATCCCTGGCCCCTGAGGAACCTCCTCCACTACTCCTATGGCTAGGAGCGCCCGAACCTCCTGAATAAGGAGTTGCTCGTGAGAAGGGTCCCGTAAGGGGGATGGGGAAGGGGGATGGGATGGAGGGGAGGAGCAGAATTGAAGAGAATATCCCACTTCTACAGTAAGAAGAACCCATCAGTCCAATGTTATTCGGGACCAAGCATGGCAGAAGTGGGACAGACGATTCAAGAAACAAGGGGAAGGATCCGGTGTTCTGGCAGGTGCACCGTCCTTGGGCACACCTTCAAAAGGCCTGTTTGGAGCCCGATGATGGCTTAGTTGGGCCCTGGTGGAGGATGGGGAGGCTTCCGCCTCTTTCATGTCAAGGGCGGCATACCAGTCTCCCAGATCCAGAGAAGGGATAATTGTATGCATGTGGAACTTCAACTTTACCATGAACTTGTTGAGTCCTCGCAGGTCTAGAATGGGTCTGAGACCCCCCTTGGCCTTGGGGATTAGAAAGTATCAGGAATAGAATCTGCTCCTCCTTCTAGAGAAATCCTACCTCAGTCAAGGAGGATAAGGGCGTTGTTGCTGTTGCAGCCTGAAGTGTTTGCATTGGGTTGCTGGTGTGTGCATACCCAATTACTTCATTGTCACCCGGTAGTCTTTTAGGCTGCGCAGCCTGGAGTCTGTTTGCTCCGCAAACAGGCCTGCCCCATCGAATGGCGGGTCCTGCAGAGTTTGCTGCACCTCTGGGGATAAGCCAGATGCCTGTAGCCATGAACTCCTCCTCATGACTATCCCTGAGGAAAGGGTGCAGTGCCGCAGCATCCAGAGAGGCCTGCAAAGAGGTCCATGCTACTTCTTTGCCCTCCTCAACAATATCCCCAAACTCCTCCCTGGACTCCAAGGGCAACAATTCCCTAAATTTCAGCATGGATGTGACATTCCCCTGGTGTTATCTGGACTGGTGATCTGCTGGGTGTAGGCAGATGCAACATCGCCGGCTTGCCCCATGACAGTGCCACTTTCAGTAGCGCTGGGGGCTTGTCCCGGAAAGCCAGGGACCTCGGTGCAGTCATGGCTTTGAGATCCCTCATGGCCTCTAAGGTGTCTGGGGTGGATGGCATCCCCACCTCTTCCACCATATGGCTTGGGGAATCCAAAGGTACTGGACTCAACGGTCCCCTTTACGGTGCAGAAGTCGACGGTGCCGGTTCCAAACATCACGGTGTTGGGTGCTCCTTCCTGGGATGCGCTCCAATGGCCGACTCCGAGGGATTGGGTCTCGAAGGCGGAGATCCACTCCTACCCTGCTTCTGGTGCCGCTCCTGCGGCGCAAAGGAATGAGATCGGTGCCAGACAATTCCCGTTGGCTTTGGTTGCATTGCCGTTGGTCCCTATGTCCTTCCTATGTCCATCTACCACGGATGCCGGAGCGCTCCGCACCGATGAACTTGGTGCCGTGTCTTGCTGCACAGAGGTGGATTGCAGTCTGAGAGCCGCCTCTATAAGAAGATGTTTTAAATGGAAGTCCCACTCCTTTTTCATTCTAGAGTGAAACCCTTTACAAATCCTGCACTTATCAGCCTGGTGCGCCTCCCCCAGACACTTTAGACAAGCGTCGTGGGGGTCGCCCGTTGGCATGGGCTTATTGCAGGATTTGAACCCTTGGGACCGAGACATGCCCCAAGTCCCCAAGGGGAGATAGGCAGTTGGGGTGGAGGGGAAACCCCCACACCCAACAGCTAAAACTACTAACACTAACTAACTACAAATACAAGTAACACTAAACTAACACGAACTGAAAGCTAGAAGAATGAGAGGAGAACTTGTTAAGCAAGTCGCCACAGTTCCAATGACCGTCACTGGTGGTAAGAAGGAAATGAGGAGGCGCCAGGTCGGCAGGGTCATATATTGAGTGCCATGGAGGTGACACCCCAGAGGGCTCTGCAGCCGACCTGACGGGTGCCACTAAAGGAAAAACTTTCCAATGACTGTGCACATGGCACGCACACACCTAATTGGAATCGATATGAGGAATCAGTCGAAGAACAACCAAATTTTCAAAGACATATATAGCCCAATCAATAAAATCAGGTCTGCAGTTTTGCATTCCAAAGTTTTCACATATAATTTCTGCATCCAAATTTTTGGATTTAGATGCTCAAGCATTGGCATGCACAGATCAGATAGTTAGAAATCTAAGTATCTGAGATTCATGCATGCAAACACAATTTAATGAAAAAACACACAGATGAAAAATACATAAGCAAAAATATTAGCAAGAAAGATGGTTGGTGCAATTTTAGAGACTTCTTTTAAAACTGGCTCTTAATACTAAAGAATTATTGATTATAAAATGTGGGCTCATACACTATATAAATATTTGTAATGGAAATTCATAATATTACATCATTTTGGGCACAGGCACCACCACATAATTCAAACCCACTGAGGATAATTTTAAATTTCATAAGTACAGTTTTTAAAATTTGCTTACACAGTAAGTTAGTGGGTAAACACATTGTACAAGGCATCATTTTGAAAGCACTTAAAATTTTGCTTTCTTTACAAGCTACAAATATGTAATGCTATTGACAGGAAAACAGGTTTCCCTATGTCCATATATGTACATACCTTGCTGGCTTCCATCATCGTAGGCAAGAGGCACATATTGAGTTCAGGACGAGGAGGACGGATATTACTTTTCCCTCCTATTAATTTCAGATTTTCACGACAGGGGAAATAAGGTCCAAGAGACACTGTAGTGTAAATTAGGACAAAATGATGAACAATTTAAAAGGTCAACACTAGCACCCCTCAATGCACACAAAGAGCAATTGTATTGAAATTCAACTGTAAAATACAACAATTAGAAATACATACTTGGGATATTACTGTGGTGGTATGTACAATGGTTGTGCTGCAGAAATGGAACCAAAGTGTGCAGGAAATCATGAGGGCTTAAAAGCACAAGCTCCTTGAGGACATCTACAAATGAGAAGTTGGTTTTGCTATTACACAAAGTTATTTCTTAAGTGTAAACATGACTTATGGCTCATGCATCTGAAAACCTGATCTATTTGGTATTACTTCTGCTAGTGCACATTGTGGAGGCAGGCTTTATAGTGAACAAAATTTAATGTGAAAACACCTGAAATAATCAAGGTTCCTTCACCTCTACCACTAGAAGAAAACCTAATCAGTGTTATATCAACTTTCCCTTAACAACCAATAAGAGGGGTGTCAAACTGTAGGAAGTAGAAGCTCAAGAAAATTACCCTCTTTGCTTCTTCTTTACCATATCAGGTCTGATGCCTGGAAAATGGCAACCAGCAGCAGCCAGGACGACAATGACAAGGGCACTCAAAGTAACAGGAAAAGGCATACAAATTATATTAAAAATAGGTTTAATTTGGACAGTGGGTTAGGCCTTCACAAACAAGAAAAAAATGCAGATTCTACTCCTTAAAAAAATCAGATAAAGCCTTTCAGAAGAAGTTTGCTAATGCAAGAAGACAAGAATTTCTTGGTATGACGTCCATTCCTACAAGTTAAACACCCCACCAGGAATCAAGAAGCAAGAAACATCATAGCCCGGTACTTTTAAAAGCTATTTAACATGTCTTTTTACTTTTACTGTTGCATTTTTTTAGTAAATGGGGCATAGAAATGGACACGGAGTTCTTACTCGGGGTAACGAGGTTTCTGTGCTTCACAACAAATGAGTTTTCCCACTAACTTTAAATATTAATTTAGTTACCCTGTGGATGCTAAATTAAAGATCTGGAACTTGATTCTGATCTTACTAACACTGTAGAAAATCTATTGATTTCAACAGAGTTATTCCTGATTCACACCAGTATAAGCGAGAATAGAATAGAATCAGGCACCAGGCTTTTAAACAAGCTAGATGAATAATATAAAATGATGCCTAACAAATCCTAAATGTTCATTTTATTCTTGATATACAAGGATTAGTAAGATTCTTGGGAAAATAAACAATAATTCTATTAATGTCAAGAAATTAACAAATCCAGTGTGCAGAACATTCATAAATAATCGTAATATAGAACTGTTTCTGTTAATTTTAATTTAGTTATATAGAAAGAATCTTTCCGGACTGCAGTAGCATTAATACAACTTACCAATGCAAGCATTTCTAAGTTCTGAAGGACTGTAAGAATTTAGCAGAGTTAAGAGTTTATGGGCAAATTCAATTCGCTCCTGCCACTGGATTAGCGCTTGCTTCACATCTGCAAATACAAAAACATGCTAAGTTATCTGTCATTCCAAATTCTTGACAACTTTTAATTCCTGAAGTAAGAAAGAAAATGGTCACATGGAGCAATTAAAACGATCATTGTATCAATTTTATAAACGTGATCTTAATCAAATTAGAAACCTAAGACTTGTCACTGGTCTACTGCTGTCAAAACTATACTATTTATTTTTAGATACATTTTAACACTTTAATAATTAAATTAATTTAGTCACTGTTAATGTCGAGAAAAAGAGGATTCCCAAAGGTTACATAGCAACGAGACAAACTATGAAAGAATTTCTGTCCATGAAAATTAATTAGTTCAAACAAACTAAAGCCTTTAATCTCTATTAAAAAAAAAATCATTACCAAACCTTTTCTCTGAAGATATGGACGTGTTGATTTAAGGACCGAGAGGAATATTGACAAAAGTTCCACCAGGTCTCCAGTCACGTGACAAGCTGTGGCCTCATGATACATCATGTGCAATGTGTTAAAGGACTACAAAAAAAGAAAGTAAAATGAAAGCAAAAGTTTATACTAACAAATTAAAATTTATTATTATTTCTAATTTAATCCTACAGATACTATTTTTACATTTATTTTACTACCACAGAAAGATGTATCAAAATGTTTTGTGATAGAAGCTGCCAGATATAAAGTTACTCAAAGAAGAATTCATTATATACAGTAGGTTGTCCAAATAATGAACAGTTAGTTAACTATGAACAAATGATTGTCAAAAAGAAAGTAATTTTAAGTAATGCTCTAATATCATTTCCTGCCCTAGTACAGAGTTTTGGTATTATGGAGAGATGGTAGTCTGTCCATGATTTAGACTGTGATTTGCTACTGATTTTTATCCTACTCTAAATTTCACTAATACTAGAGCAATAAGAAATTTCTCACTGTGTGCCTGTGGAAAATGAGTTTAAAAATGCTATTGAAAAACAGAGCAAACTCTGCATGCACACGCAAACAGTCTGATTCAGGAAACAGAAAAGCTTTGCAAACACATCCAGCTTAGTTTATAAAATCTGTAAAACGAAGAGATTTGCTTCAAGGTTAATGCAATCTGTGCATGCATAGCCTGTGCAGTTTTTAAGTTGCATAAGCTAAACACTTCTGGCTCAAGGCAACTACTTAAATCTGCATAAGCAGCAGGTGGAGACATTGAAGTCTAAAACCCAAAGAGCCAAGTAGAGCCCAAAACACTTAAGATTTTACAAATCTTTAATCCCAATTTGTCCAGAAACAAAGTTCTATTAAGGAGGCGTGGGAAAGGGACTTGGGTGCACATATTTAAGAAAACAATGGTTACAGAATAATCATATATAGTCTAGTTAAGTTTATGTGCATTGTTTACAGACATACAATATAAAATTCTGTGTCAGCTGAATTATTACTACTGCTCTAACAAAAGCATCTTCTGGGGATTTTTGACTTAGAGAGAAATTGTAGTGGTATAGGCTACTCATATTGCTGGCAATATACAATATTGCAAGGATTTTGGCAAAGAAGATATTTACTCTGCTTGAATGCCAATTATGTTTCAAACATCCAACAGATAAGGAAATACTATATATATTAATCTCCCTCAAAATATAATGCAAAACCTTAATTATGATCTATATTGATACCAGGAGAAAGATTCAGAATACACTGTCAACCCTTTGCAGTGAGGAAATCTATTCTGCTGACGTGGAAGGTTCTTAATGCTGTTTATTTAACATATAAAAACACCTTTAGCAGACAAGTGACAGCATATGGTCTATAATATAGTACAGTAGTTACAAGTTGAAGAGCAGCTCAGACAAGACATTGCTTATACCACACTGTGGCCTTATCCAGCTTCCAGATCCTTTAATGGAGTTGTATTGGGTCCAGTGTTAGCCTTTCTGCATGAAGCACCCTTCAACTAGAGGGTGAACCTAGCTGTTAAGTAGCAAAACTAATTATGCTTTATTTCTAGACATATCTTCGTAATGTCCTGTGCCAACTCCCCCCCTCCCTAAAAACAAGTTTGATATAGGAATAGTTAAGAGTTTGGTTCATAAATTTGTTAGCTCAAATTTCTTACATCTAAACATTTCTAAGAGACAAAAGGCAACCAGCAAAAATTTCAGAGCAAATACAGTTTAGTAGGTTTACTTTTATATCAGTTTTAAAAATTTACATGGGTTTTATTATAGCATTACAGAGTTTTGATTTTGTGATTTCTTTTCTTTAAAAAAAGAAAAGATTTGTTTAGGTTTTTATATAGCTTTTGTTATTAACATTGTCATCACTGGGAAATTCAAACTTCTGAGATCAACTAGCTAAGGATGAACACTTGAAGATGTCTGGTTTTATAAGCATTTTAGGATTGAATCACCTCTCCCCACATTTTTTAGGTAGTTTTAAAATGGCTGATACTGGGTTAAAAAAAATACTTAAAGCAAGCATATTTATCAGTGAGGAAGTGATGAGACCCCCCCCCCATCCTTTCAGATGATGAGTCAATGGGAAAGGAAGATGCTCATTTGAACTAAGTGACAATGAAATATTTACCTCAGTCATCAGGATTAAGCCTCTATTAAACACAACAAGAAGTCTGTCTTCATCAGATTCTAATAATATTCTGAAGGCACTAGAAAAGAAAGAAAGACTTAAACACTGAAAAAAATCATGCCTAAAATACCAGCTTTTCATAATTCTCACAATGCCTTAAAATTATTAAATTCAGCATTAGTGAAATTATATTTGGAGGTCTGAGCACAGATCAGGAGAAAATGAAATGAATACAATTATCACCTTCAGTCCTTTCATTTTATTAGTTTAGATGTGTTCCTCATAGTGCCAAACATACTTCTAAAACTAACTGCTTTGATGGAGGTAGTACCAACTTCCATCTTTTTAAAACAAGAATATCTCTTCAAAAAGTATTTTATGGACACTCTCTCCAAAGGTGTTTTAACAAGTAATGGCTTCAAAGTATTAAAAAACTAAAGAAAACAATCCATTCAAAGATGAAGGTTTAAGCTTTTCAAAAAATGCATTTTAAGTGCAGGGTAAGGTGCAATTAAGCATATATTTGAGAATGCAAATGAGTAGAAAAATTTCTGAAAGAGCATTTTAAGCATATAACTAAAAATAAAGGATTTTGCCTGGCCAGTTGAGCATTTAACTGAGCACTCAAATTAAGGGTGCAACTGTACATTAAAAACAGTACTGAGTTTTAAAAGAATTCATGGAATAGTTCTTGTTCTCACCACATACTGAACACCCCCTCTTCTACTCATTAACACACATGTTCCTTCCTATGTAAGCTTATGCATACAGCTTCTAAGTGCTACCATTTCTTTCACTCAAACAATGGTTTCCAGGGTATTTTCCATGGAAAATAAAGCATGACACCAGAATATTTACGAAAAATAATAATTACACACTAATATTTCTACTAAGTTTGAGCATCCAATTATGCGACGTATCTACTTCTGTGCTAAGATAGATGACTACGTATATGCCCTCAGGGGAGTAAAGGAGATTTTCTCTTCTCACAAGAACATTCCAGCCCATCCGTTGCTGGGTTTACACTCCCAGTGATGTGACCTATGTGACGCAGCCATTTTATGGTCATATCCATAAATAAAATGGGGAAAAAAATCACTAGTTTCACATATTCAACAGAGAACTAAAATTTCGAAAAGATGCGCCTAAGAACTTTAAACTCTTTGTAGAGGTGATGTATAAAATAATCTCAGATAAGGCAGAAACCCTGCACCAAAGCCACCATTTCTACCTTACTCGTGCCTTACAATTTTGCAAGGGAGGGTAAACTGTCACATTGTACATGCTCACCAAGCTATGCAAAATAGGGTGGGTTAAGATACAGAATGAAGTTTCAGCTTTACTACTGAATTTCTAGGCTTTATGTCAAAGAAAATATTTTAATAACAACATTTTGTTATGGCTTTCTAACATTTTGTTTTGAATAACAATAATGTATGTTTATTTTTTTAAATTACTGATAATTATATGTATTTAGTTCCTTGCATGGTGGGATCTTATAAATTACATTATTATTTTCACGCACAATAGGTTTTTATATATAAAGAGACAATTTCTGTATTTCAGAGACCAACTACAACTTTACTGTATGTGACAGTAAAGACAGTATCAAGATTTATAAAGACAATATCATAGATTTTTTCAAAAAGTGTATAAAGTAAGCTATACTGAAGAATAATTTATGATATTGCAAATTCTAAAAAGTGCATTTTGTTTTTACTGAAAAGAATTAAGCTGCCTCACTAACATTTCAGTACTGTAATACCTTATTAAAGTAGTCCAACAAGACCGTCCATCTAAGCAGCGCAGATAACAGCTTATGGTTGTTTTCTTAAATTGCTTTATGTCTTCTATCTCCTCTTCTCTCATATCTGGCCTCTGAGCTACAAACAGCTGCATGAGGTTAAACAGCTCTTCTACTGCCTAAAACGAACAAAATAAACATTAGGTTAAGGTAATCTTTCTTAATTAATAAATTATGGCTTATATTCTCCTCTTCATGACTGTGCATTATTTCTATTAAGCAATACATTGAAGTGACATATATGTGAGAATCTAGAAGACATTTTTATATATTTTAGAGAAGGGGAAAAATCAGAAAAATACACAGCATTGATATTCTTTAAATATTACCTTATTAAAAAAATAAGAGTACTTAAACATAAATACAGCTTCAAAAGTTGTATATATTCCTACAATTTTCTATCTAGAGTGCTGTCTCTGTTCACCCCTTATTGTTTTCTTTGTGGAGTGAGAGAGATATCAGTTAATGATATTCACCATATTACATATTTTCAGAATAAACTGAATTGGCATAAGGTGTTTTAAAAAGAATATTCTCATATTGCAAGGACATTGAGATGTCCCTTTATATCAGCAGATATCTTGGGATATCTTGATGCTTACCATCAATGCAGATTACTGCTACAATTGCACAAATACATAACATTGAGAAATCCTTATCCATGTGACCACAAAGTTCTTGGGCTTTTCTAGAGCAACAGAAGGTCAATTTCTGTAGCAAAGTAAGTAAATTATCTGGCAGTTATGATATATAGCTATTTTTAACTCTGCACTGCCAGAATCCACTTTCAAGATGCAGAAAACTATTTGGGCTAAATCCTACCCAAGTCCCCTATGCCTGGAAGGCCCTAAACACAGCAGAACCACCATGGTTCCTTGGGGGCAGGTTGCAGAGAGGCTTCAGAGGATAAATTCCTGAATGCAGCAGGACCCTCTTCAAGCCATCCAGAGAAAGGGCTTGATCAATGAGTCTCAAATTATGTAGATACACTGGACAAAACCTCCAGCAGTACAGTACATGGGAAGTAATAGTGTTCTCTGTACTTGTTGGGGATGGCTCCTCTCTACCGCTACAGAGGTCCTCCATGTAAGATACATTTGTTCAATTTTCACATAGGAGTCCCTGATTTGTCTCAATATTTTCAATGGATTTGTTCATACTCAGTTACACATGAGACCCTATGATTTATGATGTGTGTTGTGATTTGCCATTGCAAATACTGACAGGAAAGGACGGACTAAATACTGGGAGGAAGCATTTGCTCTGGCTTTGATGGAATTTAATATGTTATTTGCACCAGCACACAGAGTTACCTTTTCAATAGTATCTGAAGTGGTAAATGTGTTTGTGAGACAAGTATGATAAACAGAACTCCAAGATGTAAGGAGAGGTTATTCATCTTATGCAGTAACTGGAGTTCTCCTAGATGTATGTCCCTTCAGGTACACATGAGTCCGATGTGCCTCTGATTAGAGATTTTTGGTAGCAGTGCCCGTTCGGCCTGTGTACATGCTCCAAACATCCTCATGCCCCGTACTAAGGATATAGAGAGCTGTTCAAGTGAACCACCTTCAGTTCCTTTTCTACTGTGAAGTCCTGAGAGATAAAACTCCAAAGCAGAGGGGAAGGAGGGAGGGTAGTGGAGAACCCAGAATGGTACACACCTCAAAGAACTGTAGTTACTGCACAAGGTCAGTAACCTCTCCTTCTTCGAGTAGTGTCCCTCCTATGAGTACTCCACTTCAGGTAACTCCCAATCAGTATCTTCAGAAGGGAGAGGGGGCTTCGGATTAGTAGTAAAACTGAGACAGAACCGCATTGTCAACCACAGTATCTGATCTGGAAGCATGAACCAATGTTTGGAGAATATATGTACAGAGGTCCAGGTTTCAGCGTTGCAAATGTCAGCAACTGAAATATTTTCCAGTAATGCTATTGAGGTAGGGATCTTGTATAATGGCCAAGTACCATAAGAAGGTTGGACTTTGGCAGCCTTATAACTATAACCAAACCATAACCAAGCCTCATCCACCTTGAGTCTCTCTGAGTGGAGATTGTCGATCCTTTGGATCTGTCCACAAATTAAACAAAGAGTCTGGAAGATTTTCTAAATGGTTTGGTTCTGTCCACATAGAAGGCTAGTGCCATTCTGACATCCAAGGTATATAGACTAGCTTCTTCCAGAGTCTACTGTGGCTTCAGGAAAATAACTGGAAGATGAATAACCTTGTTAAAATGGAATTCAGATGATACTTTGGGTAGAGACTTTAGGTGTAGCTGTAATGAAACTTTTCCCTTGAAAACTACTGTAAAGGGAGAATCTGCCATGAAAGCCCCTATTTCTCTGACTGCGAGCAAAAGTAACGGCCATAAGAAGGCTGTCTTCATGGACAGGTGAAGTAGAGAACAGGTAACCAGTGGTCCAAAGGGAGGTTTCCTAAAGCAATTAAGGACCAGATTGAAATCCCACAGATGTGGGCTGTGTAACCTGTGGTAAAGATTCGTCAACCCTTATTGTTATGGGATGGGCAAACACTGGAAATCCCTCTACAGACAAATAAAAGGTTTCGGCAGCTACAGTCTCAAGTTCAAAAGAGTTACCTCTGCCCATTGTTTCAAATCTAGAGTTCATAGGAACACATGATGGCCAAGGAAAGTAGCATATACAGCCACAAGAGCAAGGTCTAATATCTTTTATCAGTTTTATTAAAGTTACCAGCACAGTTATGAATATCACGGCATATATAAATCCTAAATATATCCATGCACAAATTATACCTACAGTCATACTCACATCCTCCTAGATAGTTTAGGGTCTGATGAGTCTCTCATGGATTGATCATCAGTAGAGGGATGGTTTCTGCTAGAGTTTCCCATAGGGAGCTCAATTTTCCCAATCTGGGCACCCTCTTTTTATAATGTAATTTTGCCTATACCTACATTCTGCGCATGTACACGAAAATGTCAACCCTCTTTTTCTTTATTGATCTGGTGTCCCCAAGAAACTTGAGGTACCCCGTTTCCTATAGGTTGTGTATAGTTCCTTTTATTCTCATTAGCATTGACGCACAACCTGTACTCTGTGGTTAGGGCACATGTTAGAGAGAAATGTGCCTTTAGAGCATTTTTGTGATCTAAACTTAATCTTCCAGCTAATTTTTTACAATGTTGCCCCAAGGTACATCTTTTCCTGTAATCTTATGGCATCGGGTTATTCTTCGGTCACTTATGTATGTCAGCATTTTTAAACTCTAAAGCCTAAAAAAGCTAAGCTAAAATCTGACAGGCCTCAGCCTATAGGTCATGAGTTTCAGCCATCCTCACTTAGATACCTCATCCATAATTATCCCTTCTAACTACTGATCTATCTTATACGTCTATAATTCTACAATTTAAACTCTATTTAGCATACCAGGATTATGACATGACATGTTAGTTAATCATAATATCACAGAATAAATGAACAATAAACTAAAATAATTGGCTACATCTCATCCTGCCCTGAAATCTAAATGATGTAGAACACAGGCTATGTTGTGTGTCATGACTTTGATAGATTTGTCCTTGTATAATGGAAGGCAACGGATGCATTCCTCACTGCTCTGAGTTCCAGTAGGTTAACATGTAGAAGACACTACTGGACAGACCATTTGCTATGAACAGTATGTGTCCTTAGGTGTACTCCTGCTTCCAGGAGGCATGCATCTGATGTTATAGTGGTGGTTGGGTGAAAGGGACTCTTGCACAAACTTTGTAGGGGTCTTCCACCAGAGTGAGTACAATACTTGGCGATGGACAATCATTAGCTTGTCTAGACTGTGTTTGTTTGAAATATAGACCATTCTGAGCCATCCCTGGAAGCAGCGAATGGTGCATTGCCAAGCTGCCATATGTCCTAGCAATTGAAGACAACTTCTTGCTAATCTCTGGGGGCTTATTGGGACCTTGGAAAAGAGGTTTGTTAGAGTCATAAACCTGTCCATGGGAAGGTAAGCTCTGGCTGTCACTGCATCCAGAGACATCCTTATGAAGTCTATCTGCTATACTGGGATCAAAATGGACTTTTCAATGTTGAGTTGAAGTTGTATCACTGCAGAACAGGAACATTGTACTGCAGAGAGCTTTGTTGTGCAACCAGCCCTTGAGCAGACAATTGTTGAGGCAGGGGAAGACAATTATTCCAAGTGAATGTAGGCAAGCAGCTACTACTGTACTGCCATGATCTTTAAGAAAACTCTCGGGGCAAAGGAGAGGCTGAAGGGAAGCACTCAGTACTGGAAATGGTCCTGGCTGACTGTAAAATGAAGGTATCTCTTGGAAGACCAGTGAAATGCGATGCAAAGATATGCATCCTTAAGGTTGAGGGCTGCAAACTAACCCCTAGAATCTAATGCTGGAATTATAGCTGCAAGAGTCACCATCCTGAATTTCTGTGATCTCACAAAGGTGCTTAGGAGTCTGAGATCTAATATGGTCTCCATCCCGGATTCTTTTTGGGGACCAGAAAATACTTGGAATAGAATCCCTTCCTCCTGTGCTGGATTGGGACCACTTATATGGCCCCCATGCTTGGAAGGGAAATGTCTCAGTAAATGATTGTGAGATGTGCTCCTGAAAAGGAGCAGGGAAGGGAGGTGGGTAGGGGAATGTAGATCAAACAAAAGGAGTAATCCGATGTTATGGCTTTCAAAACACATCTGTTGGATGCAATCTGTTCCCCACGCAGTTCAGAAATATGAGAGATGGTCTCCAAAGGAAGAGATGTTGGAGGAATGGTGTAGCTGCATAGTCCTCAGGTGGGGACATTCTAGACCCTTGACCAAACCATCAAAATTGATGCTTGGAAAAAGTGTACGTCTGAGTGATGGAATCAGTTCCTTAGGTGGCTCAGAAGGCCAATGGTATGCAAAGAACTGAGCCAGATGAGCTCTCAGTGCCATTTTTGTTCTGCTAAATTTTCTTTTGTTTGCAGATGCATATATGGAGAGGAACCTAAGAGTGGCCCTGGAATCTTTCAAGGTATGGAGAGATTCTTTGGTGGACTCAAAGAGGAGTGTAAGTCCGGCAAAAGGAAGGTCTTCAACAGTATTTTGGACTTCCCTAGGAAACCCAGACAGCTGTAGCCAAGATGCTCTAGAAATGACGACTGTAGTGGAGATGGAATATGCCGCAACATCAGCTGTGTCTATGGAAGCCTGCAATAGGGTTCTTTCTAGGAGCTGACTTTGGCTATGATGGCCTTGAACTGGCCACTATGTTCTGCAGGGAGATATTCAACAAAATTATTGCATTTTTCATGGCGTGGTTATATTTTGCCATCTGGGTTTGGTAATTTGCAATCTGAAATTGCAGGGTCATTGAAGAATAGCTCTTAAGACCAAATAGGTCACGTTGCTTTTGGTTTTTATTATAGGGCATATACTTTGTGTGATTTGTCTCCCATGCTAGCTGACAGCGGCCACAACTAAAGAATTTGCTGCAGAGTGGGAAAACAAAAATTCCAATTTTTCCATTGGGATTAAATTCATTTAAGAGCCTGTTTGTACACATGTGGTGTGGCGGCATGAGTTTGCCAGATGGTCTTTGCAGGATCCAGTAAGACTTCACTCACTGGTAGAGTCAGGCGACTGACAGCTGTTGTATGCAAAATGTTCAACAGTTTGTTGTGACTCCTGGACCTCCTCTAACAGAATCTGTAATGAGTCAGCAATCCATTTAACAGGTTTCTGAAACTGTTTAAAATGGTCAGCAAGAGAAGGAAGGGGCATTATCTCCTCATCTTGTGACGATGATGAAATATTAAGTCTTCAGTGTCACTTCCTTGTCCACTCTAGCCTCTTGCTCCTTGAAAGACTTCTTCTGAGGTTGGGGCTGCTGAGGAAGGACTGATGGAGCAAGACAATGTCTCTCTCAATGATCTCCTGGAGAGGATTTAGGTCTTGAGAACTGCTAGTGATAGGCAGCTCATGGATCCCAGTATGGCCAATGAGGTGGACCATAAGGCAAAAGAGGGGGCACCTGATGTTGGCCATGCCAGTGAGAAGGGACACAAAATTGTTTTTCCCTTGGAATTTCCCTCTCAGTGAAGGCGGTCGGGAAAATGTCCCTTTGATGATGGACAGGAGATCCCTGTACTGAAATCTGGGAGTCAGAGGAATCACTCTCAACATAGTCCCAGGGCAGGGCAGACAGTGAAGGTGAAGATGGCTGTCTGTCCTGTGCAGTAGGTACTAGAGAACTAGAAGGTACTGGGTAAAGATAAGGGACCAGGTGACCCAGATGATCTTGGTATTGATAGTTGTCAGTACCCATTAACAGTAGAGACTTTGTATGAAAACAAACAACTCCCTGGAGTATCTAAATTCCTGTAGCACTGGATGTATGGAAGAAGAGGTAATATGAGGCTCTATCATGGCCAGAGTTGGTACCAAGAGCTGACTGCTTCAGCAGTCCCATTTTAGAAAACGGTGTCGATGATGACTATTTCAGCAGTACATGTTAAATACATGATGACAGTACTGAGGATGTTGATGATTCTTTGGTGTCAGTAACAGAACCAGTACCCCAGAAGTTGTAGGTAGTGCTGATCTCCAAGAGGCAGAGTGCTTGGAGTTTCTATTAAAGCTAAAGCTTAGACAGTACCCGAGTCGGTTTTGGTAACAATGTATGTCTGGCATTGTGTTTTTTCAAAGCACTGAAAGTCTTCAAAGAGCTCCTGGTACTGGAGCAGCCTGGAGCCTCAACGGTATTCCCTCAGGGACCTGAGGTCTCCCAAGTAGTCAGTCTCTGAGGTGAACAGCTTCCCTTCGATGAAGAGTCTCTGTTAGGAGATCTAGCTCTTCTAGTTCAGAGCCTCATCAGTACTCTGCATACTCTTCTCCTGTGAAGATCTTGGTGACTGGGATATAGAGGTTGATGGAGCACTAAGTGTACCCAGAGGCTGATGTACAGGGGGTTTTCTGAGCCTGGATCCGAAGCCAGTTGCAGGGTTTGCTCCACCATAATCTTCCCTTTTTCGTGATCTACTTTTAAAAGAAATGCAGATCTTTCAAGTGCAAGGTATGTGGTGTCTCAGTCATTAACTAGGGTGAGTTTCTGGCAGGAGAGGCAGCATTTGAATCCCAGGGATCTTGGCATACCTTGCCAACAACAACCCCCAAGACTGCCCATCAGGTGGGAGGGGAAGGGGTATTAACAAAAAAGGAACCCCTTAAATCCAAAGAGGTATAAAACTAAGTCAACTAAACTAATGTCAAATTAACACTAAAAATGTAAGGTTAAGCTATAAACTAAACTTGAAGCAGGCAGATGCTCCATCTCAGCTTGTAGGGCTGTTGAGAAGGAACTAAGTGAAGTTCTCCTGCACAGTTCTTTATATCCTCAGTATGGGGTACAAGGATGTCTATAGTGCATATGCAGGCCAAATAGGCACTGCTATCGAAAATCTCCAAAGATGCATGGGGTGCACTTGCACTTGAAATGGAGCACCATCAGGGATACTATTGAAGAATCACCTGTGGTTACCCTCATCTTTAGCATGCTTTTAGGAAATCTACTGATCCCACAGTGCTCCATCTCATGGTGGGAATGGAAATTTCTTAGATAGCATCACTGTAACAGAGATAAGGGCAGCTGAATTTTATTCCATCTTCGGAAATAAAATGTGGTCATTGGGCACCTGCTTGTTAACACAGCCCTCAGCTGGCCAGGGCTTGAGAACTCCTGAATAAGATGGACCAGGATAAACTGTTCATTTCAACCAGAAACCTTCCATATGACTGGTCACACAGTTTCATCCCCATTTACAGTACAGCTCTACTCTGAAAAGTAACTGTGTGCCAGATAAACTGGTGCCAAATAAACTAAGTTGCTCATAAACAACTTTTTAAATCATTATGTACATTAACCTGCAAGAAGACATTGTAATTATTTTACAGGGGAAAATAAGTTGCGGACAACATTCTTTCTTAAGGCAAGATATTATAATGGTCAATGTAGCAACAATTTCTAAGAGGTACATAGACTTTACAATAACAGAACAAGTAACTACCCATTGTTTGCACAGGACACAAAGGGCCAAATTCTGGCACTGCTCCAGCAGCTCAAAGCAGGTGGAAAACTAGTTTAAGAGATTTCCTTGGTATAGTTAGCTTTACACCATACCACTTCCTGGCCTCACCAAAAAAGTTGCTCTTAACTGTTCCTCATGACCAGATCAGTGTACAGAAGCTCCAGGATCAGTGGGAAGCACAAAGGTTCCTTAGAGACACCTTTTCATTCCCAAGCTGCTTTGCTGCAGAAGAACTGGTGCTCAGGGCTCGCCCTATAAGCTTTATGGTTATTCATAACAGGAACTCAAGACTCAATAATATTTTTGCTTTTAGGTATGTAAAGTTGAGCTTTTGTCTAGTTCAAAGTATTTTTTATAAAAATATATAGTCAAGCAATAACTGAGGAAGCGTTTAGAACAAATGTCAAAATATCTATTCAGAATGAATGTACTTACTCCTGGGTATTGACTGGCATGTGGTGTGAGATTCTTAAAGGCCCACTGGATATTCTGATGAGAAGCCAGCTGTCTTGTGAATGCAGGTGACTGTTCGCAGCATAACCGCAGAATGCCATAATAGGCAGGCAGCATCCCACGGTTAAAGAGCACCACATCCTGATCATCATGGTCTGCTAGGATGTAATTGAAGGCAATGTTCTTTGTCACCACAGGATTCTGTACAATAAGGCGTACATTCTCTGGGCAGTCAACACATACATTATACCAAAAAGAGAGCAAAGCCTGTTTATTGTGGTTGGTGGCTATAGCTGGCTCAGAAAGTTTAGGCTGGAAAAGGTTCCACAAGTCCATGAAATAAGTGGAAAACATAAGTTTCTCAGTTTTTGAGATTAAACAGTAAGTCATGAAACTAAAGTAGGGCACCAGTTTAGTAGTGCCGTGAACAGCAGCATCAACATACAGTTTTGCTCTTGAAAGCAGGCCAAGAAGTACATTGTAGACTTGATGAAGAACTACTGTAGTATCTGGACTGAGAGGCAGGTCACGTGTAGGGATATGCAAGGATCGAGTTGATCGGAACATCTGACGGAATGAATTGCTTGGAATAAGTGACACCAAAAGGTAGGCTGCAGCTTCAAAATAAAACAAAAAACAAATCTGTCAAATCTTTGAACAGGACATACAGATTAATATTTATATGAGTATTCCATTTATAGCACTTTTCACTAGTGGATCAAAAAGCACTTTACAAAGTTGGGGAGTAAAAGGGATAGCAAATCCCACTCCTACCTAGAATGCAACTATTTGGTGAAAATTCTAAGGGTAAACTCCTGGACTACCCCTTCCCCTGAAGCCTCTCCCATGTGATATTTGGACCATATTAATTTAACTATGTCAGACACAGAAAATGTAAATGTATCATCATTCAGGTTAATAAATCAAATTATGTTTTTCATCAAGTAAAGATAACATTTATTGATGAGATACAGTAGGTATCAACCAAGTTAAAGTTAGTTTTACTGAAGGTAATTATCTCAAGGTGAGTAATCTGTGGATAACAAATAGGCACAATAGCAAGAAAATTCCATTTTCACTTGTAGCAAGAAAACATTATATATAATAACTAGGGCCCTACCAAATTCATGGTCCATTTTGGTCAATTTCATGATCATAGGATTTTAAAAATAATAAATTTCATGATTTCAGCTATTTAAATCTGAAATTTCACAGTGTTGTAATTGTAGGGCTCCTGACCCAAAAAGGAGTTTTGAGGGGGTTGCAAGGTTATTATAGGGGGGTTGTGGTACTGCTACCCTTACTTCTGCACTGTTGCTGGCGGCAGCACTGCCTTCCAAGCTGAGCAGCTGGAGAGCGGCGGCTCTCGGCCAGGAGCCCAGTTTGGAAGGCAGAGCCTCCACCAGCAGCAGCGCAGAAGTAAAGATGGCATGGTATAGTATTGCCACCCTTATGTCTGTGCTGCTGCCTGCAGAGCTGGGCCCTCAGTCAGCAGCTACCTCTGTCCGGCCACCCAGCTCTGAAGGCAGCAGCGCAGAAATAATGGTGGCATGGTTTGGCCAACAGCCACCGCTCTCCAGCTACCCAGCTCTGAAGTCAGTGCAGAAGTAAGGGTGGCGCAATACCATGACCCTCCTAAAATAACCTTGTGCTCCCCCCTTCCCCCTCTGCGACTCCCTTTTGAGGCAGGAATCCCAATTTGAGAAACAGTGGTCTCCCCTGCGAAATCTATGTAGTATAGGGTAAAGGCACACAAAAGACCAGATTTCACAGCCCATGAAACGTTTTTCATGCCGTGAATTTAGTAGGGCCCTAATAATAACTTATAACCTGAAGAGCCAATTTCTTTAACTTATATAAAACTTACAAGTTCTCACTCTAGGATAATTGTGTGCCAAAAGAAAACGTTCAACCCAGTTCTCCATATTTTGCAGCACCCAACTGTGGGCTAGTTTATTTCGAGGTGTCTGCACTGCCAGCCAATCCAAGCACTGAGATGGATTGTATTCAATCACCTAGAAGAAAAGAGGAAAACAGCAGCAAATAAAATACAGTATATTTTATAGTATTTATTGTATCAAAACCAACTAAGAATTAGTAAGATAATGGGTCAATGAAATCACAGTCAATGGGTTTTGTGTTCCTAAATCACTTATGCACTTTTGAAAATCCCATCCACTATTATTAGATCCAGCAAATAAACTCTATTTACATCTTACAATATTGTTTAAAAATGTTTACAAATTTAGGGGGGTACTTTCAAGGCTGCTACTTAACCAACCTTGAGAGTAATCCCATTTATAAAAATATTTTCTTTTTGTACTTTTTGCCAAGATGACGCATATCACCTCTCATCCTTCAAAGATTTCAAAGTGGGACATCTGCCAGTGTGACAGCTGCCATGATGACCAATACCAGGGATTGAACTGATTACGTCTAGAGCTGAAGGCACAGTTTATGTTGAAGAGAAAGGCTCTCAATGCCTGCACCCTCTTCCCCTTCAACACCTTAAAATGTACTTCTCCCACAAGGCCTATTATCTTGAAGTGACAGGGTGACAGAGAGTCTCCTCATTTGTTTATAAAATGCCTAACACACTATGGGCATTATAAAAACAGACAAATTATTTCAGTGTTATGGGCTATCAGCTTATCACTGTTTCTTTGAATGAGAAGTGATTACTAAATTATAACTTCAAACTGACACGGTGGAAAAGGAAGGATAACAATGAACACTCCCTTTAGAACACTGTCAGTATTTTAGCAGAAAAAAGTGATCAAGGACAAAAAGAATCCAATATGATTTGTTCTACATACTGTACCTCCCATATCCTCTGCAGGATGTAAGAAGCAAAGGGTGGCATTCCTGGAGGACCACCAGCAAACTCCATTAGCATGGTCAGCAATTTGAAAAAAGGATTGGCTGCCTGTAATGCGAAAAGATACATATATACATTTTGATCACTTTTAGTCAAGTGATACTTCTGTAAATATTTCTTATGTTAAACCAAATACTTGCATAAAAAAACTTTGAAAACAGAGCAGATATCAGAACAATTTTAATAATCTTTGGCCTATGTCTAGCTGTAACCTGTGAAACATTCATACATATATAGTAGGACTAAGGCTTATATCCTTTGTATGCTGCAGTAAATAAAATGCAACAAGTAATGATCATACTAGGGCAAAGGTAATCAATAGGTAGACCGCAGGCCAAATCCAGACCACCAAATGCTTTTGAACGGACCCTGAAATCTTTTTATTTACTTATTATCATTATTGTTGTTATATTTTAATTATTTTCTCTGGCATTTGGACCTTGACTATACACCTTGGCCAAGAAATTTGGACTTTGACAAAAAATAATTGACTACCCCTGCACTAGGGATCTCAGTACTGTAGCAGTATTCGCCAGGAGTGGATACCGTGATCTCACACACTTGACAGCTTGGACATTCCTCTCAGTAGAGGGCAGTGGTACACTTGCATAGTGTTGGAGGACAGACAAATATAGCACATTATTATATAGATGGTATCACTCTCACTGTAAAATTATCATCTTAATTTATTTGCATGAAGGGTAACATTTTCAAATATGTCTGTCTCAGCAACCCAAAACCTTGAAAATTTTACCCAAAACCAATCAATCATTTGGTCATTCAGGGTTCAAACTGATTACTAGCTTAGGGTTACCTTTGAAACTACCCAACCATTTGTAACCTATCATATTGGCTCTAATCTTACATATTTTTTGAAAGTTTGCTAAGACTAAACTAAACACTGGGTTTTTGTTTTCTTTACAATTTACTCTTCATCAGTGACAAAATGCTACTGGGGTGATGGGAAAAAAGCATTAAAATTTAGTGGATGTCAGCCCATGTGTAGGGAAGTGGATTTGTCACCATCTGATATTGCCTCTTCTAACACACAAAGCAAAGTTGTCATGAGATTGGTTTAAGCATGTGCTTCAAGCATGTGCTTCTTTTCCAAGCATGATCAGGTCTCCTTCCTTTGCCATGCCCCTATTTTTCTCTTTACTTTTTTCTGACAGTAGCAAATGAAGATGGCCTTATCTGGGCATACGCTTCCCACTTTGCACATCTTTACCATGTGGAATGCACACAGAGCTCTCAATATGCTTGTTTTTTAGAGCAGAGATTTATTCCACCTAACATTTGTGTGCATCTAACTGCAGAACTTTGCCCAAAGACTTGCACAATCACAGGATAATCTGTTCTCTCCACTTATCTTAGTCCACAGACATTTCTATTTATCAGATAATTTCTCTTAACTCTTTATGTGAAGAATCTAGAAAAGTGCTATTTGGTTTTGAGCAAAGTGATTATCTGGAATTAGGTAATCTATTTTAGAAAAACTGGTATAAAATGCAGTAAGATTTTATTTCCTCTCATGTAAGTTTTAATGGATCATTTTCCATGCAGAATTCTTTGGCTGTCAAAAGATTAATTTAGTAATTTAAAACAGAAAAAGATTAAGACAAATCATTTAGTAGATAGGCAGTTTCTTTACATACCTCAGGAGTCAACTTTGCTATAGATGTGAAAAGCATGGACACAATCTTAAAAACAAAACACAAACAAAACTCACTTTTAGATTCATGTTTGTTCAGTTGTAACACTAAATCACCCCAGTACACTGTCCAGTTAAACCCTCTCAACAAATAGCAACAGCAGTGGCTGGTACTTACGTGTTCGGCAAGTCGATTATTGTACCGACACAGGCTGAAAATGAGATTGCAGGTTTGCCTGATATTGATGCCATCACGGATATGTTGAAACAAGAAAGGAAAACCCTGTAACAAGTACCAAGGTATTATTAATATCTGACAACTTTTAATGAATATTTTTTTCAAGATAGTTGATTATATTTTCACATTTAGAAGTATTACCTTCCCTCCTGTTAATGCTGCCATGTCGTTTTGTGACAAAGTCAAGTGCCTAAAACACAACAAAATATTTATCACTTTAGCATAGAAACCATTAAACTGGATTTATGTACTAGCAACCAGGGAACTGAGTATGTCAGCCCAAGATCCTCTCTACTATAAGTTTTAATGTTACACCTAAGAGAAAATAGATGAATTAAATTAAAACTGCTACTATAATTTTAGCATGCTAAATAATTAAAAATTAGGCCTATAAAATGATTGTTCAATGGTCTTACTAGGAACTTCAGTCATTTGGTCAGCAAAGAACTCAATATTATACTTTAAAATGCCTAAAGACACTGTGACAGAGTACGATCTCAAGTTACACTAGTGTAAAACCAGAGTAATTCCCAGATTTATACAGTACAATCAAAATCAGAATCTGTCCCTTGGAAGTTCTTGCCTTTCTGAGCGAGACTGTTCAACCAGAAGAGCAATGAGGGCAATCATCTTTTCAAGTGCAGCAGGCCTGTATTTTTCTTCTGCTAATGAAAGAATGTCTTCCTCCTCCTCCTCCTCCTCTCCTTCCTCTTCAGATAGCACTTCAACTTGCGGCTGGATAAACAGGGGGAGTGGGGGTGGGGGGAAGATCCATAAACTCAATAATGACATTATATACCAGAGTTTCAAAGAGACTGCTAAATGTTTTAATTTTTTTCTCAGTTTTGAGCATTCCAAACACCCTAATTTGCTTGCACAAATCAAATCAAACAGACATCTAATGATCTGCTTTGCATGTTCAAATATTTGCATGTAAAAAATACACAACACAAATTCAAAAGCTGGGTTAAGATCATCCTATTTATCCCTTTATGATAATTTAATTAATTGCTAAGAAATTGCAAGCAAGTTTAAAGTGTACATGAAGTGAGTTGGTAGTCTCAGTTCACATCTTAGCTGAGAGCAGTCTACATAATACAAACTGTTGTCACAAAGGGCAATATTACTGCCAGTCTCAGCAGAAAAGCCAAGGACTAAATGGGTATGGAAACTGACCTATCCTCTCAGGCCTAGAAGAGGTCACTCTAAACCAGATTTGAGGCACACTGATAGGAAAGTATGAGGAACCTGAATGTCTGCTGCTAATTCTGTACTAAACAAAAAACGTCAGTATACAGCATAATCAATCCAGCATTTTTCAGAAACACTGCATTCATTTGAGATGACCGTATTACATTTATTTTTCTTTTGAAATGAAACAATTTACTGAACAGTTTTGATATTATTTATCAGCTGGTAAATTAAAAAACAAAGCAACGAGGATTACTTAGATTTTCATATTTTAATTATTTTTCTACAAAAAAGTTACTTTAAACTTACGTTTTCAGGTCCTTTAGTTCCCATGTAGAAATGGACCATTGTTGATATGGCTTGCAATGAAAGCAAGAACTGACTCTGAAAATGTAAATATTGAGTTATCTGAGTAATACACATACATTTATATACACAAACACAATTTCTAAAACTACAAAAGCTATATTCACCTCTTCTTCTCCCATTTTGGCAAATTCATAAAGAAATGCAAAGTATTCTGTGAGATGTTTACTGTGAGGTTTAACACCATGCTCCATAATTGACAAGAGCGTCTTCACGAAGCGAGTTACACATGAGCGGCTACCAATATCTTCCACAGGACCATCCATGTCATCCGAACTGAAAACATAGTTTAATTTAGTATGTTAAACTAGCATTAGACAAAATAATCTTGAACCAGTCCAAATAGAAGTTCAACAAATCTATGTTTATATATTCCATTCTTACTGTAAAGACTCAAGGCTCTAACACAATATCAGCTATGGTAAGTATACCATGGATGACAATTATACATCACAATATAATCACTCAAATTATAAATGGCACCTACCACTGAAATGCTTGTCAGTGTTATGAGGGTGAAAATAAATTTATTAAAGCATAGTTTTAGTCAGAAGAGGAATTTTGTAAAAAAGCATAATGGAATTTCATATCTCTGACATCCATGTCAAATTTTCTCAGTTATCAAGTCAGACAGTGATTATTGTACAGGAATGTAATAGTGTTGTTTGCAAATGTGACCTGCGTCCAGCAAATACATTTGTTTTAGACAAGGAACAGAGATACGGGTATCAGCAAAAAGTAGGCGTTAATCATGTTTAGAAAATTTCTTCTAATGCTTTTTAAATACATTCTAATCTCAAAAATGTTTGGTCTTAGAAACTTAAAATGAACTGAATCCTCTCCCTTCCATCCTCAGCAGCTGTGTTCTTCGTGAATACTGTCTAGCCACAAGCAGCCTGATTTACTAACTCAGTTATCTGCTTATGGCACCTTCTCCTTCTTCTCACGCCCCACCCAAAGGGACAGGCAAATACACCTCTACCCAGATATAACGCGACCTGATATAACACGAATGCGGATATAACGCAGTAAAGCAGTGCTCCGAGGGGGCGGGGCTGCGCACTCCGGCGGATCAAAGCAAGTTCAATATAACGCGGTTTCACCTATAACACGGTAAGATTTTTTGGCTCCCGAGGACAGCCCATTATATCAGGGTAGAGGTGTATATACATTGCCTGTGCATTTTCCTTAGATATGTTTTTAGCTTCAGTACCTGTGCCAAGACCGCTACCAAGAGAAACTGTTAATATCCTGGCTTAGTCTGCTCCAGGTAGAAAGCCAGAGCCTGTCTCACATCCAGCGTGTGGAGGCGGCGCTCCTTACTGGATGCATGGGGTTTGGGGCAGAGGACTGGCAGAAAAATGTCCTGACCCATGTGATAGGTAGAGACCACCTTCGGGAGGAACGAGGGGTGTGGGCAGAGCTGGACCTTATCCTTATGGAACACCGTGTACGGGGGCTCGGAAGTCAGGGCTCTGAGCTCCGAGACCCGCCTAGCCGACATGATCGCAACCAGGAAGATCACCTTTCACGCAGGAGCACGTGGCTAGCGTAAGACGGGCCAATACCAAGTTTAGGTCCCACTGCGGGACTGGGGGCCTAACATACGGGAAGAGATGATCCAAACCCTTAAGGAATCGGCCAGTCATAGCATAGGAGAATACCGTGTGGCCCTGCACCGGCGGATGGACGGCCGATATGGCTGTCGGGTGCACCTTGACTGATGAGGGCACTAGGCTCTGGGCTCTAAGGTGAAGGAAGTAGTCTAGGATAAGCTGGATCCAGGCGGCCACCGGGGAAAGGCCCCGCTTGTCCGCTCATCTGGAAAACCGAGACCACTTTGCCAAGTAGGCTCGGCGTGTGGAGGGCCACCTGCTTTCTAGGAGGTCGCGCTGAACCCCTTCCGAGCACGTCCTTTCCTCCCTGCCTAACCATTGAGCAGCCATGCCGTGAGGTGGAGTGCCGCTAGGTTGGGGTGGAGGAGGCGGCCCTGGTCCTGGGAGAGGACACGAACAGGTCCACCTGGGGAGTTCCCCACACTTGGAAAAGTCTGTGTACCACTACTGGGTGAAGAGACCACTCGTGCTGAGAGGAGAAGTCCCTGCTCAAGTGACCCGCCCGCGCATTCCGGGCACCCGGCAGATGGAAGGCCTGTAGGTAGATGTCGCGGGCTATACAGAAATCCCACAGCCTGAGGGCTTCGTGGCAGAGGATCGGGCCCTGCCTTGCCTGTTGATGTAGAACATTGAGGCCGTTTTGTCCGTGAGGACCCTGACCACCCAGCCTTCCAGGTGCGAACAGAAGGCCGTGCACGCCAGTCGTACTGCCCTGAGCTCCTTGACATTTATGTGGAGGGTCAGATCCTGAGCCGACCACAGACCTTGGGTCTGAACGTTCCCCACATGGGCCCCCCATCCCAGGTCTGACGCATCAGACACCAGCTCCAGCGACGGGGCCCTGCCCCTTGGAGCATGTTTCTCAGGGAGGACCACCACCGTAGGGAGGTGATCACTGGCTCGGGTACCGTGAGGACTTTGTCCATCCTGTCCCTGGCCTGGGAGAACTCTGAGGCCAACTAGAGCTGGAGGGGCCTTATCCTGAGTCTGGCGTGACGTACCACATACGTGCACGCTGACATATAACCCAAGAGCTGGAAGCACGCTCTGGCTGTTGTCACCAGAAACCTTGTGACCGTGTCGATGTACTGATTTAGGCCTCGCAGGTCCAAGATGGGCCTGAGCCCCCCTTTGGCCTTCAGGATAAGGAAATAGCGGGAATAGTACCCCTGGCCTTTGAACTCCCCGGGTACCACTTCCACCACTCCTAGGCCCAGGAGCCGCCCTACCTCCTGCTCGAGCAGGGCCTCGTGCTAGGGGTCCCCCAGGAGGGATGGGGGCGGGGGGTGGTTGGGTGGTGAGCAAGTAAACTGGAGGGTGTAGCCCTGGGAGATGGTGTTGAGGACCCATTGGTCTGAGGTCAGCCACGACCACTCTGGGAGGAAAGTACACAACCGATTGGAGAAGGGATCCCTGAGGAGAACTGGCAGGGCGACCCCGGGCGTCCTGTCAAAACTGCCTTTTCCCCACCTGCTTGCCCTTGGAGGACTCAGGCTGGGGGGCAGGGCAAGACTGCCTCTGAGGGTGCCTCTTATAGTCCTACAACTTCTTATAAGCGGTCTCATATTTTGGGTGGGTGGCCTGAGCGGGAGTCTGCTGCGGCTTGAACTTAGGTTTAGCTGGAGTCGGAACATAGAGACCCAGAGTCTGGAGAGTTGTGCGGGAGTCTTTCAGGCCATTCAGCTTTGTATCCGTTTGTTCCGAAAACAGAGCTTTGCCGTCAAACGGAGGACCTGCAGGGAGGTCTGCGCCTCGCTGGACAGTCCAGAGAGCAGGAGCCACGATGCCCTTCTCATGGATACCGCTGAGGCCATGGACCGCGCGGCCGTGTCCGCTGCATCCGAAGCTGCCTGCAGGGTTGCCCTGGCAGCCGCTGTACCCTCCTCCACCAGCGCTTTGAACGCCTTCCTATCGCGCTCCTGGAGGGAGTCCTCAAATTTGGGCAGGGAGCCCCACAGACTGAACTCATATCGGCCCAGGAGAGCCTGGTGGTTCGCCACCCATAACTGTAAGCTCAAGGACGAATACATTTTCCTTCCAAAAGAGTCCAGCCTCCGCGAATCTTTATTTTTCGGGATAGGGGTGGGCTGGCCCTGCTGCTCCCTGTGGTTGACCGACTCGACCACTAGGGAGTTGGGAGCAGGATGGGTGTATAAGTATTCATGCCCCTTGGTGGGTACAAAATACTTGCATTCCGCTCTCTTAGAGATGGGGGCCAGTGAGGCCGGGGTTTGCCACAGGGCATTTGAAATTTTTGCCATTCCCTCATGGAGAGGCAAGGCCACACTGCCCGGTGCCGAGGAGGACAGCACATTAAACAGCGAGTCTGAGGGCTCCTCCATCTCCTCTGCTTGGAGGTGGAGGCTTGATGCCACTCTTTTTAAGCGTTCTTGGTGGGCCCTAAAGTCCTCCTGCGGAACGGAGGGAGATGGGGCTGTAATTGCCTCATCCGGGGAGGGCGAGGAGGCCGGCACGGTACTTTGGGTGGCCACCGGCACAGGAGGGTCCACCAGCTGAGTGGTCTCCAGGCACAGTGCCGAGGATGTACGTCCCACCGACTCCTTCTTCGGAGGTCCGGAGAGGGAGGCCGATGGTCCTTCTGAGGCTCTGTGGCACCGGCGGGGCCAGCTGTTAGGCCTAGCTGGCCTGGCCCATCGATGGACGACTACAAAGGGAGGCTGGGCTGACATATGACCTGATGCTGTCCCCGGACCTGGAAGAGCAGCGGCACCGGAAATGGTGCCGACCACGGGACCGAGATCCCAACGTGGCGGACTGGTACCGTCGGTAACAGCTGCTCTGCGATCGGCTCCAGCAAGCGGACCCACGACGGTGAGACTCCGGCGATTGATGCCCGGGGCTGCTGAGGCAGTGCCATGGCAGGGTCCTGGAGCGGGACACCGAATGGGAACGACATTGACGTCCATGCCGTGACCGGCTACAATAACCCCTCTGAGACTAGGACCTTTGGCGATGTCTGCCTCGGTCCCGTCGGCGTTCGCTCCTCGGGGCAGAGTGGTGCCGAGAGTCTCGGTCAGATGGAACCCAACCAGACAGCTTGGTGGGCGTTGAGGGCGATCCACGTGGACTTTGCCCTGAACAGTCGCTGGGCGGCGAACGGCGCCGGGAACGTTCCCTCGACTGAGACTATTACTGAGCTGGGGGCGACTGCAGAGATCACAGCGGCGGCTTGCCTCTGGATCGCGGGGCCAACATCAGCGGTGCCCCGGGTACCAGCATAGACATAACATCCCAGGCCGCCTCCAGGGCATGGAGGGCATCCGGGCAGGCCTGCTCCGAATGGGCTGGGCTTCTCAGCTCGACTTGAGTCGGAGGCCTAGTGGCCAGTGGGGATCAAGGACTGCCCGACATGGGTCTAGCCTCTGTCCCAGGTTTACTCCGGTGCCGCGGCGAAGAAGGCCTCTTTCTAGCCTTCTTGGCGTTCCCTGTGGACGGGGAGCGGTGCGGACTAGTCGATGGTGCCGAAGGATCGCTGCGCACCGACACCTCAGTTCCCGGTGCTGACTCAGAGGGGCGCGCCAGAGCCGGGGTCAGCGCCGACTCCATCAGAATAGCCTGGAGCCTAATGTCCCTTTCTCTCTTGGTCCGAGGCTTAAACGACTTGCAAATCTTGCAGCGATCGCTGAGATGGGTTCCCCCAAACAGGGCAGACAGTCCGCGTGTGGATCACTCAGTGGCATAAAACGCATACAAGTGTCACACGACTTAAACCTGGGGCACGGGGCATGCCCCAGTCCGGGTGCTCTAGCTAAACTAAACTAAACTAACTAACTACAGGCACCATACACTGAACGAACAAGCAGTTTTGGGGACGAGCTACAGCAAAGCTGGAGCAGAGCAGTTCCGAAGCACCTTCACTGGTGGCAAGGAGGAACTGAGGGTGGGGGGAGCGCGCAGCGCCCCTTATATTGCTCCAGGGGTTGCTGGGGCGCTCCCCTACGGGTACTGCTAGGGGGAAAACTTCCGGCACCGGTGCACGTGGTGAGCAGGCACACTTATTATGGAATACACATGAGAAATCACTCGAAGAAGAAGAGGAAGTGGCTTTCCGCACCTATATGACACTTCTTGAGGCACCAGGTTTCCTTATCCTTCTTGCAGCAGCCTTGTCTTAATGAGGTCTTTTAGAAGCAGTAGAGTATGGATGCTGCTATCTTTCAACTCAAATGCTGAAATTTTAAGCATCACCACCCTTTGTAAGGCAAAATGTGGTGGTAAACATTCAGAACCTTGCAGAGGAGAGAGAGATTATAGCAGAATCTTCACCAGTACCGCATGGGGTCTGATCTTCACATTCCCACTCCACCAGCAAGAGGAAAGGTCAAGAACTTTCACACATCACAAAAGGAACATGTGATGGCATTTGCCCCCATGGTGAAGGAATTTCTCTGACTCCACTGAGGGAAAAAGACCAGAATTCACACTGGGCTGGGTCATGCTGGGTCAGAGAACTGACACTATTTCTTGAGGCTGCCATCTTTTTCTTTAAAATCTCAGATTTCATTTAAAGGAATGTCTGTAGCTCTGCTGAGAAAATCCAGAAAATGTGAAATGAGTATGAACAGATACAGCGATTACTGCCTGAATCTGCAAAGAGCCTAAAACAACAGCCCACAGAGATATGAACTGTTCCATTAATCCGAATTGAGAGTGTTAATTCTGATCCCCAAAGATGGTAATTTAAAATGTCGATATCGTTAACTATGTCACTGCTATCCAAACATGTAAGAACGGCTCAGGAGGATGACAGATCTGCTCTAACTGCTGTGTTAGTGTCTCTTTTTGGTGCCACAGGTGGCAGCCATTTGGGAGAGGACTGATATTTTTTTCAGTGGAGCTGAAAGGTCAGAGGGGAGCCCCAGGATGCATCCGAGCCCCACGAAGGGAGAGACATCCCACAAGCCCAGTGGGGCATCCAACATCATCAATCAGCCATACCAGCATCCAGGGCCAGGTAGGTTCTGGGGGTGTGTTTGTTGCCAAGTGGCTTTCACTCTGTCTGTAATTGCTCCTGCTCCTACATCTCTGCTGTTTGTTTCATGCTTACAGGATAATTTAGGATAATTTAATAAGCAAATCTTTGATACAGTTGTAGCACATTTAATTACAAATAAAAAAAGGTTGCAGGTGCAAATATTTTACCAGTCTTCCATTCCTGGTTGCAGATACAGATGTGCATGCACTGGCCTCAGTCTCTGTATCACATGAATACACAAGCGCTGGAACATCTGCAAAAGGATAAGTTATAAAATAGACTTTTTTTGTTCACTTTTTTAAGTATGTGTGGGTGTGTGTTTTTATAGTAAAGCATATTCAGGTTCCAATAACCGTGTTTCCCAATACTACATGTTTCAAAATTATAGTCAAGATTAAGATGACCATATTCTATTTGCTGTAATGTTGCAGTATCAAACTCTAATATGACAGTCAAACCTGATTTTAATGAACACACCTCATGGCTGGAACCTAGATATGGTCTTACTATTAGTATATTTTGTATTATAATGAAATGGGCACCTGACAGTGCTTGTCATAAAGGTTACACAATAGTTTCCATTATTTCCTGTTCCTACATATTCATTATTTACTTTTTGGCTGACATTTTGCATACTCTGTCTCTGGCTGTGCGTAAATTTATCTCATTGTACAATAATTCTAATTAAACTTTTTTTAAGCACATCTATATCAAAAAATGGCTGAAATTTGAAATATACATTGTATTCACTAAGGGCTGGTCTACACCCAGCCGCTAGTTCGGCGGCTGGGGATCGAAGTTCTGGGTTCGACTTATCGCGTCTGGTCTGGACGCGATAAGTCGAACCAGGAAGTGCTCGCCGTCGACTGCGGTACTCCAGCTCGGCGAGAGGAGTACCGCAGAGTCGACGGGGAGCCTGCCTGCCGCGTGTGGACCGCGTCTCAACCGCGGTAAGTTCGAAGTAAGGTATGTCGACTTCAGCTACGTTATTCACGTAGCTGAAGTTGCGTACCTTACTTCGACTTGGGGGGTTAGTGTAGACCAGGGCTAAGAACTAGCACATTTGCCTAAAATTTAAGCGAACCTAATAAAGCACAACTCCCATTGTGACACTGCTGCATATTTAATGAGTTATGCTTTTACACTGCAACTATTACCATAGTATCCACCCCACCTGACCTGACCAAAAGAGGCATACGCAGCAAAATCCTCCAAAAAATCATCTTAATACCAGAAAAAGGTAAACTGTGGGAGTGAGAAAAACAATGACTTACGATTTTGGGGTTTTATTGATACATTCTGCTATATTTTGCAAATTATAAAATTCAAGTACTGAATCTTGCAGATTCTAGCTAAGCAAGCTGTCAATGGGACTACTCATATCTCTTTCTGATGCAAGATATAGTGTATATACTCGTTCATAAGCCGAATATTTTTGGTAAAAAAGTGACGCATCAAAGAGTGGGGGTCAGCTTATAAATGGGTCTACACCAAAATTTGATGATTTTAAATTCTATGGAATCATTGATTTGAATATCTAATACATTGCCGTTTTGTTTACCTGGAGCGTCTGCAGGCATGGAGCCCCTAAGCTCCCTGTGGCCACGGTTGGCCATTCCCAGCCAATGAGAGCTGCGGGAAATGGCGCGCCACTTCCCGCAGCTCCCATTGGCTGGGAACGGCGAACCACGGCCGCAGGGAGCTGAGGGACTCCATGCCTGCAGACACTCCAAGTAAACAAAACGTCCTGACCCACCAGCGGCTTACCCTGACGGCCGGGAGCCAAAGTTTGCCAACCCCTGAAATATAGGGTCGGCTTATGAAAGGGTCATACAGTTTTTGCTATTTTTACCTAACCATCCTGGGGGGTCGGCTTATAAACGAACAGGCTAATGAACAAGTATATACGGTAAGCTAATAAAAAAATGCCTTCAGCTAGGCAGCAAAAGTCAAAGAGCTTAGTTCTACCTCATTCCCACCTTAGTGAGGTATGAACTTAAAGTAACTGTGAATATTCAAATACTGGCATTAAGTACAGATAGCTTTTTCACTTTCATGACTTTTACAGAAAAGGAAATTAAATTAAAAAATTATGTTAATGAAAATGTTTCACAGTTAAAATAGCACACAAAAAACAGAAAATGCAGAAGTTAAGGTTTTAACAGCAGTATTGACTTGGGAGCGTTGGACTTACTGTATGTATTATTTTCTATTCCTGTTTCTCTGGTTAAGTGTGCAGATCACTATGTCATTTTTTATGTTACAAAATATAAGTTAATATAAACAAATATGCAGTTTGGCTGAATTTATGTTGGTGTTGCAAGAATCTTAAATTATGCCCTTTCTGACTTAGTGATTTTGACCGTGAACCATAACACTGCATTAAAGACTGGCTGGTTCTTGCTCACACACTCAGGGTATAACTGATTACCATATGTGGGGTTGAAAAGAATTTTCCCCCAGGTTGGATTGGCAGATTTTCACCTCTCTCTGCAGTGAGTGGGTGCGGGTCATATGCCAGGATTATCTGAGTATATATCAATTAATTATTGCCCTACTACTGCAGGGTCTCAAGCCCTAGTGCACCTTGGTCCCCCCTACTATCCATCTGTGGCACATAATGGTCTAGTCTCCTTTGGGCTGTTATATTTTGGTCTAATTTCGGGTGGGGAGTTATAGTATGGGTGCTGGGTGGTGTTAGTGGCCTGTGACATACAGGAAATCAGACTAGATGATCTTGTAGTCCCTTCTGGCCTTAAATTCCAAGACTCTGTGTAGGATTTTGCTATGAATAATATCATGTTTGCATAGCCAGATAAACTTCACAAATCAAATACAGGTGGAGCAGGAAATGAGAGTTATGTGCAGTAATGTGAATTGCCAATATTATTGTACAATTAGTAAAAATAAACCGTTTCTGCTTACGGATCAAATAGGTATTTTTTTGTATAAAATCATATTTTTTCTTACCTGCCTCACAATTTGATTGGGACACTTGATTAGAATCTGCATTGGCCACCAATCATCATCAGCCATCCGATCCAAAAACCACTGCATAAAATACATATTATATGCTCTTTATTGTACATTTCAAATTAATAGTTATATTAATTTTTCTTACAGTCAACCTTTAATATGCTATTAAAATTCAGAGGATTATTATTAATTATTATTATTAAAACAGAAAACATAAGTCCAAGAGAAATCTGAAAATCCTTTGTCCCTGAGGAAGAGGGAAAATAGTAACTATACGTACGAGTTTGCATGTAATATCTTTAATACCCTTCATCCCAGGATCTCTAAGGCCTGGATTCAGAGAAGCTATCCCTGTTTCAGAAGGGTGCTTAAGGATGTGGTTAACCTTAAATATGCAATTAAATCCCATCAAAGTCAGAGAGACTTAAGTACATATTTAAGATTAAGTACATACTAAAGTGCTTTGCAGAAGAGAGATGCTTAGGTGATTCCTGAATCAGGGCCGTAAATGCTTTTCAAAGGTGAGTAAGCATTATCATCTCTATTTTACATTTGGAGAAAATTAGTCTCCGTGAGATTAAATGATCTGCCAAAGTCAGGAGGTGAAAGGCAGTTGGGAGTAGAACTGACGCCTCCTGACTCATAGAACTATGCTCAATTCACTAGAATGTTGCCACTTTAGAATGAACAATTCAGGTTCTTATTTTTTTTCTTGGTTTAATAGTATTTTAGCATGTTCTATTTCTAGGGTCCTTCACTTAACTTGTTTTTGGTGTCTTATTCTCAAACCACAGTGATGAATTTGTGTCACCAGATTATTGAATGTTAAATATCAATTTAACAATCTGAAGATTGGATTTGAAAACAAACACTGTAATTAATGCATATACACCTCTACCTTGATATAGCGCGACCTGATATAACACGGTAAAGCAGTGCTCCAGGGGGGTGGGGCTGTGCACTCCGGGGGATCAAAGCAAGTTCAATATAACGCGGTTTCACCTATAACGTGCTAAGATTTTTTGGCTCCCGAAGACAGCGTTATATCGAGGTAGAGGTGTATATTAGATAACATCTATTGCAGGATGTTAATTATGGCTGAAACTATAACATTATGCAGTAAAAAACGGTTACTCACCTTTGTAACTGTTGTTCTTCGAGATGTGTTGCTCATATCCATTCCAATTAGGTGTGCGCGCGCCGCGTGCACGATCGTCGGAGAATTTTCTACCCTAGCAACACCCGGTGGGTCGGCTGTGGAGCCCCCTGGAGTGGCGCCTTCATGGCGCTGGATATATACCCCAGCCGACCCAGCGCCCCCTCAGTTCCTTCTTGCCGGCTACTCTGACAGTGGGGAAGGGGGGCGGGTTTGGAATGGATATGAGCAACACATCTCGAAGAACAACAGTTACAAAGGTGAGTAACTGTTTTTTCTTCTTCGAGTGCTTGCTCATATCGATTCCAATTAGGTGACTCCCAAGCCTTACCTAGGCGTTGGGGTTGGAGTGAGACATCGCTGAATGCAGAACTGCTGATCCAAATGCAGCATCATCTCTAGACTGCTGTACAAGCGCATAGTGAGTGGCGAAGGTGTGGACCGATGACCAAACCGCTGCTCTACAAATGTCCTGGATCGGGACGTGAGCCAGGAAGGCAGTCGAGGAGGCTTGGGGCCTCGTGGAGTGGGCGGTGAGGCACGGCGTCGGGGCACCGGCCAGGTCGTAGCAAGCACGAATGCAGGATGTGATCCAAGAGGAGAGACGTTGCGAGGAGACCGGTAAGCCTTTCATCCGGTCGGCCACTGCAACGAAGAATTGCGTCGTCTTCCTAAACAGCTTCGTACGCTCAATATAGAAAGCAAGGGCCCTGCGTACGTCCAAGGAGTGCATACGCTGGTCTTGACGCGTGGCGTGCGGCTTAGGATGAAAGACCGGGAGAAATATATCCTGGTTCACATGAAAAGCTGATACCACCTTGGGGAGAAAGGCAGGGTGGGGGCGAAGCTGCACCTTGTCTTTATGGAAGACTGTGTATGGAGGCTCAGACGTGAATGCCCTGATTTTAGAAACACGCCTTGCTGAAATGATGGCTACAAGGAAGGCTGTCTTCCAAGATAGGTAAAGGAGTGAGCAGGTAGCCAATGGCTCGAACGGGGGCCCCATGAGCTTGGAGAGAACCAGGTTAAGATCCCACGCCGGAACCAGTTGACGTAGCTGTGGGTATAGATGGTCTAAGCCCTTGAGGAATCTGACGACCATCGGGTTAGAGAAGACCGAGGAAGCGTGTTCTCCTGGGTGGAATGCCAATATAGCAGCCAGGTGTACCCTGACTGAAGATATCGCCAAACCCTGCTGTTTTAGGGATAGGAGATATTCAAGTATAAGTGGAATTGACACCTGCAAGGGGGGCGTGGCCTGCTGCTCGCACCAACAGGAGAAACGATTCCACTTGGCCAAGTAAATGGTCCGTGTAGAGGGTTTCCTACTTCCCAGCAGAATCTGTTGCACGGGATGTGAGCATCGTAGCTCTGTCCGATTCAGCCATGGAGCATCCACGCTGGAGCAATTGCAGGTCGGGGTGACAGAGTCGGCCGTGGTCCTGAGAGATCAAGTCCGGGCACAATGGAAGCGTGATCGGAGTCTGTACCGACAGCTCCAGAAGCGTGGTGTACCAGTGCTGTCTTGGCCAAGCTGGAGCGACTAGAATCATACGTGCCTTGTCTCTGCGTAGCTTGAGCAGTACCCTGTGGACCAGTGGAAATGGAGGGAAAGCGTAGAACAGCTGGTCTTTCCACGATAGCAGGAAAGCGTCCGACAGGGAGCCCGGAGATCGCCCTTGGAGGGAGCAGAACACGTGGCACTTCCTGTTGGTGCGTGAGGCGAACAGGTGGACCTGGGGAAAACCCACCTCTGGAAGATGGAATGGATGATATCCGGGCGAATCGACCACTCGTGCGTCTGGAAGGATCTGCTGAGACGGTCCGCTAGAGTGTTCTGGACTCCAGGGAGGAACGATGCCATGAGATGTATCGAGTGGGCAATGCAGAACTCCCACAGGCGAATGGCCTCTTGGCATAGGAGAGACAACCGGGCTCCTCCTTGCTTGTTGATGTAGAACGTGGCCGTGGTGTTGTCTGTGAGGACTGACACACAATGGCCATGTAGGAGACCGAGAAATGCCTGACAGGCTAGGCGCACCGCCATCAGCTCTCGAACATTGATGTGCAGAGCTAGTTGGGATGCGGTCCACAGGCCCTGTGTATGGTGCTCCCCGAGGTGAGCGCCCCAACCTAGAGATGAAGGGTCCGTGACCAGGTACAGGGAGGGTTGTGGGGCGTGAAATGGCACTCCTGCGCAAACAGCCTTGTGGTCCAGCCACCAGGTGAGAGAGGTCAAGACCAAGTTCGGAACCGTGACCACCATGTTCAGGTTCTCCCGATAAGGACAGTACACCGATGACACTCAGGCCTGAAGTGGGCGAAGCCAAAGTCTGGCATGCCTGGTTACGTAAGTGCAAGAGGCCATGTGTCCCAACAGGCCGAGGCACGTCCTTATCGTGGTAATCGGGAAGACCTGGAGTCCGTGGATGATGTTTGTGATGGTGTGAAACCGAGTGTCTGGCAGAAGAGCTCGGGCGAGTCTGGAGTCTAAGACTGCCCCGATAAACTCTATTCTCTGCGTTGGCTCCAGAGTGGACTTTTCTTTGTTGAGTAAGATGCCTAACTCGTGGAATGTTTGTAGTGTTATCTGGACGTGGGCTTGAACTTGCTCCCTGGTGTGGCCGCGCACTAGCCAGTCGTCTAGATACGGGAACACCTGTATCCTTTGTCGACGAAGGTATGCTGCCACGACAGCCAGACATTTGGTGAACACTCTCGGAGCCGTGGACAAGCCGAAGGGAAGGACGGCAAATTGGTAGTGCATGCTGTTTACTACAAATCGAAGGAAGCGCCTGTGTGGGCGGTAGATTGCTATATGAAAATATGCGTCCTTCATGTCGAGGGCGGCGTACCAGTCTCCAGGGAAGGGATGATGGTTCCCAAGGAGACCATGCGGAACTTCAACTTTACTATGAATTTGTTGAGTCCGCGTAAATCTAAAATGGGTCGCAGACCTCCTTTTGCCTTGGGGATCAGGAAGTAGCGGGAGTAAAACCCCCTGCCCCTTAACTCTGATGGAACCTCCTCTATGGCCCCCATAGAAAGGAGCCCAAAAACCTCCTGTGTAAGGAGATGCTCGTGAGAAGGGTCCCTGAAGAGGGACGGGGAGGGGGAGTAGGAGTGGGGGAACAAAGAAAACTGGAGAGCGTATCCCCTCTCCACCGTGCGAAGGACCCAACGGTCCGAGGTTATAAGGGACCAAGCACGGTGGAAACGGGAGAGGCGATCCCGAAATAAAGGGAATGGATCCTGGGTAGAGGCTAGTACGCCGTCCTCGAGCGCACCTTCAAAAATTTTGCCTAGGCCCTAAAGGTGGTCTAGGAGGGCCTTGGTTCTGACCGGGTTGGGGGCCGGTCGACCTCCTTCTACCACGTCACCCACACCTTCTGGGGAAGTCCTGTCTTGGACGAGGAGGAGGAGGGTAGAACCTCTGTGGCTGGGGCCTAAAGGGCCTGCACTGGGGTCCTGGGACATGCATCCCCAGGGAGCGCATGATGGTTCTGGAGTCCTTGAGGCTCTGCAACCGAGAGTCCGTATTGTCCGAGAACAACTTGGCCCTCGAATGGCAGATCTTGCAGGGTCTGCTGCAGTTCTGGCGGTAACCCCGATACCTGAAGCCAGGAGACGCTCTCATGGCTATCCCAGACACTAGTGTCCTGGCGGCAGAGTCCGCTATGTCCAGGGAGGCCTGTAAGGAGGTCCTAGCCACCTTTTAACCTTCCTCCACTAGGGCCCCAAACTCCTCTCTCGAGTCCTGGGGGACCAACTCTTTAAATTTACCCATGGAATTCCATGAGTTGTAATTGTACCGACTCAAGAGCGCCTGTTGGTTTGCGGCTCTGAGCTACAGACCCCCCGCTGAGTAAACCTTACATCCAAACAAATTGAAGCGTGTGGCGTCCTTTGATTTGGGTGCTGCCGCCTGCTGACCATGGTGCTCTCTTGCGTTCACTGAGGAGACTACTAGTGAACACGGCGGAGGGTGTGTGTAGAGGTACTCATGGTCTTTAGAGGGGACAAAGTACTTCCTCGCTACACCTCTGGCAGTAGGAGGGATGGAGGCCGGGGTTTGCCATATGGCATTAGCGTTAGCCTGGATCGTGCAAATAATGGGCAACGCCACCCGTGATGGGGCATCAGCTGAGAGGATGCTTACCACCGGGTCCTCCACCTCCACTATGTCCTCTGCCTGTAGGTCCATGTTCCGTGCCACCCTACGTAACAGGTCTTGGTGGGCATGGAGGTCTATTGGAGGTGGGCCTGAGATTGTTGTGCCCGCCACCGCCTCATCTGGGGAAGATGAGGACGCCGCCTCAGGGGGTAAAGGATCCAGAGGTGGGTCCGGCTCCAAGGGTCCCTGATGTGCAGGATCCCCTGCACCGGGGTCTGGGACCTGCGTGGGTATTGGCACAGGAGCCTCCATGCCCCCTGGGGGAGGACGGGTGATGGTGGCCTCAGGTACCCTGGGCTCAGAGTGTGCCGAGCGAGAGGCCGCTGGTGGAGCCCCTTGAGCTTGGTGATATGCCCATGGGGTCCAGAAAGACCAATGTGCAGGGTCCTGTCTAGGGTCCTCTGCCCCCTCCTGCCAATGGCCCAAGTCGTCCGCAGCCTGACCCTGAGCAGTGTATGCTGATCGGGAGGCCCCTTCCGACGAACGAGACGCCGAGCTTGAGGGTCAGGGTGGTGCCGAGCGTGATTGCAGAGGCTCGTCCTGGAACGGTGCCGAGCAGTGCTGGTCCACAGGCGAGTGGTCTCTGCATGGTGCCGGGGAGCGGAACCGGGATCGAGAACGGTGCCGATGGCCATGCCGGTACCGGGATCCCGATCTGGATCACGAAGACGAAGACCGTCTGTAGACTCGGTGCCAGGAGCGGCCTCGCGAACGGGAGCGCCGCTCATACCGGTGCCGGGAACTGCGTCTGGACTCTGACCGGTACCGATGCTCGGGTCGGTGCCAAGAAGTGGACCGGTGCCGGGAGGAAGATCTGGGCCGCGAGTACGACCGGCGCCGAGATGAAGACCGGTGCCAGGACTGCGAGCGGCGTCGGGACCTGCTCCGAGACCGGGAGCGGTGCCGCGAGTCCACGCTCGGAGATGGAGGGCGTATCAGGGCAGGCTTGCCCCTGGATTGCACCGTGCGGAGCAGATGCGATGCCGCAGTCTGAGATGGCGCCGGCTCCGTGAGGGCGATGAGGTCCTTCGCCGTCGCAAATGTCTCCGGCGTAGAGGGGAGACAGGGCTCAACCACAGGACGAGGCGGTGAGCCAGTCCGCACCGGACTCAATGGCCCTACAACCGGTGCCGGAGTCAACGGTGTCGACGATGCCTGCACCCTCTGGCGCTCCGAAGCCGGATGCGACTCCACCACCGGTGCGGGGGGAGCCGGTGCCTGTTGTACGGCAGTGTCCTGGGTCTTACGGGGTCTTTTATGTCCCGGAGACGGGGAACGGCGCCGAGGGGCTTGCGGCGGACGCGGTGCTGACGGAGGACGGTGCCATGGGGTCTTATCCGCGTCTCCTCGTGGTGCAGTACCCGAGGGCGCCGCCGGGGCGCTGCGCACCGAGGCGCTCGGTGCTGGAACTTGGCGCGCCGAAGGCGGATCTGGGCTAAGTGCCGCCTCCATAAGGAGCTGCTTAAGTCTAAAGTCCAGCTCCTTTTTGGTCCTGGGCCTGAAAGCCTTGCAGATCTTACACTTGTCCGTCTGGTGAGACTCCCCTAGACACTTCAGACAAGAGTCGTGAGGGTCTCCCGTTGGCATAGGCTTAGCACAGGTCGCGCACGGCTTAAAGCCAGGAGCCTTGGGCATGAGCCCGGCTGCACGCCGGGGGAAAAAAGGGGGATAAAAGCCCCCTTTACCCCTGCTAACTATTTATAACTACTCTATAAAACTATTAACAACAAAACTACTAATCTATAAGTATATAACCAACAACTATCTACAAGAACTAACGAGTAAAGCTAGGGAGAGTGGAGAACAGCTATGCCATGCTCCACGGTTCCAACGACCGTCACGGGCGGTAAGAAGGAACTGAGGGGGCGCTGGGTCGGCTGGGGTATATATCCAGCGCCATGAAGGCGCCACTCCAGGGGGCTCCATGGCCGACCCACCGGGTGTTGCTAGGGTAGAAAATTTTCCGACGATCGTGCATGCGGCGCGCGCACACCTAATTGGAATAGATATGAGCAAGCACTCGAAGAAGAACAGGAAGTTTCTGTCATTAAGACTTGCAATATCAATGTCATTTTGGACACTCCTCTTCTCCTTGCATATTCAGATTAAGACCAAATTCTGTCAATTTTTCCTCTTCGGTATCTCAAAATTCTGTCCTTTCCATCCATATGGCAACATTCTTTGGACGTGCCTTCATCTTCAGACTGCAACCTCTTTCTCCTGGCTTCCCCCCATGCTCCCATTTGTCTCTACAAAAATATTAATGCTAAAATAATCTTCCTCCCACAAAACTCCTACCATGTCACTCCATTCTTCTCATCCTTTCACAGGCTTTCCTTTGCCCTCCACATCAAGTTCCAGTCCCTCATCTTCACCAGCAAGGCTCCGTATGAGTTTGCTCTTGCCTATCTCTCTACTCTTACCTCTTCTTACTCTCTTCACTCCACCCCAGCCTCCTATGTCACTGCTCCTTTTGTTTCCTTTCCCTTGTTTTCATGCCTTCTTCCATGCTGTGCCTTACTCATGAAAGTCCCTTCCAATGCCTGCTGCGCCAAGTGACCAACCTCACGCCACTTAAACCCCTCTGCAAAACCTATCAATATTAAACAGTCAGCCCAAGAGGGTGTAGACAGCTATGTCTACTACTACAGTCATGAAAGCGTTTCGCCTTATGGCTTGCCTACAGGCTCACCAGAAGGGGCAGCAATGTCATCCCCTTAGTCCCTGCAGCATTTTCCATACAAAGTTTAGGCTTTGCACAAGGGAGGAATTTCACCTCTTATTACACGTATGTCCAAATACTCCAAAATACCTAGTGATGCTAACCCCTAAAAATGCAAAATTCTTTATATAAAGTTTTTTTTTTTTTTTTACTTTTTTACCTTGTTCAACACCTCATTATTTATCTCACCTCACAAGCTGCCTGACTGTTATTAAACTGTTTTGTTAACAGTTCAATCCACTGAAGCATTGTGGGCTAAAGAGAAATAGGAAAAAAGATTTTAAGATCAAATTCCAACTTAATCTTAAGTTTCTACACAACCAGTTAATATATTTAGGCTTAAGAACAAATGCAATTACAATCCATTAAAATGTTTAATGAAACTGAAATAAATTTCTTAACAAAAAAGTGATACATATTTTGGAGATTGAACTAAGTACTACACACTGTGTAGTCACTATCCAGGCAACTGCATTTTTCACATTTAAACTGATTTGAAATAAATTACATTCTAAAAAAATCTTTCCCAAGTATTGTTGATCCTCCTCCTGCACTCTTAGAAGAAATCATAATCCATGTTTATGTTAAAATCCATTGAATCCAAATACCAACAGTTGTAACTCAACTATATTAGGGAGACCACACTGCAAACAACACTATTTTAATTGCCAAAATATATTAATTCTCAACATGATCCCAAAACTAAAGGCATATCAAGGATTTTCAGTTAATTAAGTGGAAATAATATTTTGTATCATTTTAAGAATCAGAATCTGATTTTAGTTTAAAAGTGAGATTAGGTGTTTGGTGGTAAAAAAAATTAGCTAATTTTTAAGAAACAAACAAGTCCACATTAGTTCTCCATGGTGTACATGCTACATTCTTGTATTGAAGTGTATGAAGAGTTTAAAGAAGTTGAAACTGCTGATAAGTAAACAGCTTTAATTTACTGAATATATTTTTTTTACTTCCTAATTTTGGACTAGATTGTATCTAGATCTAACACAGCCATGCAGGAATGTAGGGGGAAGTACAGACACCCACTTGGTTGCATAAGAGATGCCTCAATTGTGGCTCTGGGTGCAAGGAGAAGAGCAGGGGTTATACACTTAAAGGTGCCCCCCACCCCCGACCATACCTTACAAGTAAGCTGGGGGATGGACAAGGAGTGGGGGGCACCCTAGCTCTGTCTTCCTCCCTCACACAGACCACATGAGTGAAGTAGTTTACTCCTTCTTCAGGACAAGAGAGAAGCAGGGCAAGAAATGACTCTCAGAGCCTGAGGAAAGGCAGCTAAGCAGTGTCTAGTACTAAAGGGTGAGCCTAAAGACTCAATCTTGCCCTTAAAGTTCATCATTCAGTGAAAAAAGGAAGAGGTGAAAATTATTTTATATTCTATTATTTATATTTAATAATATCTGAGGAGCTAGCAGAAGGCTTTGTCACAGCTCTGCTTCATGTAACTACATTAGCAATCCTATTTCATTACTAGATTTATGTGGGAATATACACACATATATATATATATACACACACACACACACACATAAAAATTTTATATATATATTATATATATATATAAAAATTAACACCTATTACCAATAAATACTAATAAAGAAAATGAGATGGGGGCCAAATCCTGTTTGCTTTACTGACAGAAGTAATCCCACTTAACTCCTAATGTTAAGCACATGCTTAAGTGCTTTACTGGATCAGTAAAGTAGGGCCTTTTGTTTTGTTTTATATTTAATTTCCCCCAGGGATTTATCGGTGTTTATTACTACAACAACAAAAACAGGTGGAAATTGGTGGAAAAAACTATGAATAATTTTTATGGGTAAATATTGGGGTTTATTTTGGTGGATGGAAGGACAGGGGAAAGGATTCAATAGATTAATGCTTTGATGAATGGCATTCAATGTGGTTTGCTGCAGAACTAAAACAGAACTCAAAACACAATGCCCCTCTGGGTCTAAGAAAACAATATATCTCTAATCCCCAAACAAAACTTTTCATTTGAATAAACAGTTTACTGTTGTAGACGAAGAACTATTAGCCTATAAATATTTACATTTAATAATTGGACCACACCATTTGCAGTGCATACACTCAACTTCATCCTTTTCTCCTCCGTTTTATTTTTAAACTTTCGAATACTTCCTTGTGTTCTGAAACATAGTCTGATATAGATTTTCGTTTTCTTCCCATTTTAGTGTGTCCGATCTTTAAACTGTTATCTGCTAACAGCTTGAAATGTGTACGTGGTGGGCGTGAGATTCGTCAATATGTTGAGATGCGCATGCACTTCAGGGCTTGCGTGTGTGCCTATTTGTTTATTGTGTGCATCTTTTAGACCAGAGGTTCTCAACCTAGGGGACTGTGAACAGGTTTCAGAGGATCCTCCAAAATAAATCAGAAAGCAAGGCTGGCATTAGACTCACTGGGGCCCAGGGCAGAAAGTCGAAGCCTGAGCCCCACCATGCAGGGCTGAAGCCAAAGCCTGAGCAACTTAGCTTTATGGGGCTCCCTGAGGTTTGGGGCCGCAGGCAATTGCCCTGCTTGCAACCCCTTAATGCTGGCTCTCGGCTTTTAATCTACTGGATATGCAGAAAAACAATTGCTGTGGCACAGGCGGGCCACAGAGTTTTTATAGCAGGGGGGGGGGGGACTCAGAAAGAAAAAGGTTGGGAACCCCTTTTCTAGACTACTACATAGCCTTACTTCAACAGGCAGCTTTGCATATATAAACAAACTAATGTATTATTGTAATATATATACCTCATGCAATGTATAGTATTTTATATATCTGAATGATACAAAAGTAGAGTGAAAATCGGAAAAAATGAATAATACTTTTTATAAAACCTGGGTGTTTTTTTCAGTAAAAATCAGTTTAAACGGAAAACAAAGGGGTTTAGGCATAAGTTACAGCAGTCCTAAAGCTGCACTAATTTATGCCAGGTTGTGGCCAGATCTTCAATCCACAGCAACAGTTCTGCATCAAACACAGTCCAGGTGGACCAGAGTACCTGGCACACAATCTTCTTGAACATAAGTGTTATATACTGTATAAAAAGGTCTGAAATTTTCTTTTAAAGTTTTTTTTCCCTTGCTTGTTTTTATATTAGAAATACAGGTCTTGACTAACCTGGATGACTGAAGAATTGACATCACAGATACAAAGAAAGTAAATCAATGGAGAGTTAAAATGATTTCTATTCAGACTGATTGAAACTCTTTGTTTTGTTTTTATGTTCATATCTATTTAACTAAAACACTTACGAGCACAACTCTCTTTATTAAGGATTCAAGACCCTGCCCCTTTGATTAGAGACTAAAAAAGATTCTAATTCACATCTCTGAATCATACAATAATTCTTGCACCAAAAAGGGAACACAAGATTTGTCAGTCCTGACATTTCTAAGGAAAAAAACCAATCCAACCCAGCCCAACACTTCCCATCCCCACCACACACAATTTTTCAAGCCTTAAATTTACAGCAGAAAGAAGCAAACGGGCACAAACCCATTTTTATGCTTTTCATTTGAGGGCACTATGAAATCTGAAACTGTAAACATTCTTTGTAGTGACTACTGTATACCGTATATACTCATTCATAAGCCAAATTTTTTTTTTAGTAAAAAAGGGAAGCACCAGAGAAGGGGGTCGGCTTATGAACGGGTATAGAGAGGGAGAGGTGGGACACAGCCCCTCTCCCCAACAGAGGGAGCAAGGAGAGCCAGCACTGCCAGCAGAGCCAGAAGGGAAGAGGCGGGGCCAAGTCTCTCCGCTTCCGGCCACGCTGCTCTCCCCCCAGCCTCCGAAGCAGCTGCAGCTCCGGGGCTGGCAGGCTGCAGCCGTGTCACTCGGCCCCGCCCCCCAGAGCAGGCTGTGGCCATGCCTCCCGGCCCGCCAGAGCACGCCGGCCCAGCCCGCTGGAACATGCTGCGGCTGCGCCGCCCGGTCTGCAGCTCCAGCCAGGCCAGAGACATCCTCCCCTGGCCTGCCCCAGATAAGGTGGGAAGGGATGGGGTGGGGAGAGTGTGGGGGTCCCGGGCTATAGGGGTGAGGTCATGTGGGGGGTGGTCACAGGGGTTACTCCCCTGACCCCCAGCTTCTCTACACCCTCCCCCCCCAAAATTTCCCCACCAGTTGCTATACTGGCCCATTAGATTAAACATCTGGTGCGCCGGGACACTTTGTTTACTTTTTACCTTTGTGCCTGTGGACGCTCGAGGTAAACAAATCATCTCGGCCCGCCAGCGGCTTATCCTGATGGCCCGGGAGCCAAAGTTTGCTGACCCCTGAATTACAGGGTTGGCTTATGAACGGGTCATACAAATTTTCCATTTTTACTTATCCATCTTGGGGGTGGTCGGCTTATAAACGAACCGGCTTATGATCGAGTATATACGGTAAGTTATGACTCAAAACCATATCCTTTTACATAAAAGCACAGAGGGGCAGGCAAATTTCACTGAATTTATACAATTACTTAATATGTATTTACAAGCAAACCAACATACCTTTTCTTTTGAATGGATAAATGTCTCCAGAACAAAGGAAGTGCTTAACTGCAAGAAAATGTTATTCAGTTAATCAGTGTCCAGAATTATCATTTAAACATATTCCGTTTGGAAGAAATGCTTTATGATGTTAAGATACTTTACCTTTGCTGTCATTAGGGAGACTGCTTTTGGATCTGGTAATGTGCTTGGAATGCTACTACACAACTGCCACATAAACCTAAAGTCAGTAATATATTTTGTTAGTTAAAATAAATTTTAAACATCTGGATTAAGTAAAAACATCTCAAAATAATATGTATTTAAAGCAAAACTTACCCAAAATATGTATGTTCAAAAATGTTCTTGTCTTGAAGAAACTGCATGTTATCATGCCATATCCACTGAAGAAAAAATACTAACATCAGATACAAGAAAGCAGTTTACTTCATTAAAATTTGTGTGATTTTAAAAATAAAATTATAACACTCGTTGACTAAAAAAACCCAATCTTGTCTCTCAATTTTAGTTTAAAATATAGGTTCTATTTCTTTTATGTCTACTATGGCAGACTGTTTTGCCTGCTGTAATTAAAAACAGTTCCCAATATCCCCTCCCTTACACACACACACACACACACACACCCCTTTCCACATACTTGCTTACCTGTCCAAGATTTTTTAAAATGAGTACCTAATACTAGGTTTCTAAGTCCATATTTAGGTGTCTAAATTAGTGGCACGATTTTCACAAATGCTAAGCACCCAGCATCTTCCATTGAAGTCAATTAAACTCATGTAACCCCACTAAAGCTAATAAATAAACATTAGAAGTAATGTCAATGGGGTTGCGTGGGTGCAATTAAGGAGCATGGGCTTGATCCAAAGCCCATTGAAATTAATGGAAAGACTTATGGTGACTTCAATGAACTTTTGATAAAACTCTGAAGACAGAATTTGGGCCTCTGTTCTCATCCAAAACAATATTTTGTGCCAGATCTCCTTGATTGAAATTTTGTTTTTGACCAAATTGGTTTGCACAATTTTTTTCCCAATATGAATGATTTTAAATTTTAACTCTTTGCTGAAGTCTACTATGGATTATTTTTTAATTGGGCAGGGCTGAAAGCATAATCTGATTGTCTGGCTAAGGACTAGACCAGTTATGCCCAACTTTTTCAGCCTGAGTGCCAAACATATAAGTGGCCACAAATCAGTACTTTAGGACAGATTCCCTGCCCTTTTTTGCTCCCTAGGGCCACTCAGGTGGCAAAAAAGGAGTGTAAAAAACAAACAAACAAACAAAAAACCCCAACCACATGCAAATCCCCTATTAGGGATACCACTGGCACAGGCAGAGATGCATCTCTAACAGGCACAGGGTTGACATGTTCAGCTCCTATGCCTCTTTCCCTGCAATATTTGCAAAGTATGTGCATGGAGCGGGTGGTAAGAGACGTGGAGAATGTGAGGCAAGTGCATGATGTGTTCCAGCTATCTCCTGCTGGCACGTAGTCCCTCAATAGCCAAGTCGCTTGGTAGCCAGCTGACAAGTTAGAGCAGCCCTCAGGCCTTTTATGTGCCAAAAAATAAGCGAGATGCAATGCGTGACTGGTTCTCAGCTTCTCTTGTCTTCCGCCTCACTTGGGCTACCCTGGGTAGTCATGTGGAGGAGTGGAGCCATCCTCTGCTAGGCACTTCCCTAGGTCAAGCAGAGCCAGTTGAGTTCCTATCCTGCTCACAAGTCTGCAGGAAAGAACTACTTTCTCATTTCCCCGCTGAAACACAACAGGCAACTAGTGAATGAGCTCTTGAGCAGTTGCAGTTACTCAGAACACTCTCTGTCACATCAGAGCTATAGTAGAGGCATTGCCTCATCTTCTCCCCATAGCAACAGGGCTGATTCAAACACTTCAGATTAACAATCACAGGCCATAGTCCCAAGGTATAATTTGTAATCAATACAAATCTTCTTAATGCATTTTGCGATCAAAGGCCACAATTTAGAGCCTTGAAGGCCACAGGTGGTTCCCAGGCACAGGTTGGACAGCTCTGGTCTAGTCTATATGACCCAGAGAAAAACTGCTCAAGTCAGAATTCCTGCTATAATTTTCCATTTTGTCGTTGCTTAAATGAATGCAAAATTGACAGGATAGGGAAGGCCCTCAGATACTATAGCCTGTTTTACACAAACCGTTCTGTTTAAGATCTCTGAAGCATATTAGCTCATCTTCTTTATTGTGCTTTCTCTGATGATTATGCTGCCAGCTCTCAATTACATATTCTTTTCACTTTAGAAATACCAGTGAATTTCAGTACTTTATATAATTTAATATCCATTTTACACTTTTTGTACAGTTGCCAGCATTGCTATTTTTTATTTAAATAAAATGGAACTTACAAAAAATACAACCTTCCCTTTTTTTTTTTTTTTAAGGTTATAATACCAAGTTTTAGTTAATTTTTACTGCTGGGTTACAAACTCTGGAAAGTAGTGGATTATAATGGAAACATTAACACAATGTTAATTTTAGCAATGTAAAGAGTGATGTTATATTACTCTTACATATGTTATATTACAAAATGTTCTATGAAAGATGGCAAGCCTTTCAATTATCTTAATATTTAAAATCAAATTTCATTTTCTATATTTACTCAGATCCCACTGATTTGGATAAGATTTCTTACTATATTTTTACATTGGTGTTAAAACAAACCAACTTGTACCTCCAGCAACTCTGATGAAACATCAAACTTGTAGTCTTTGCCATTTTCCTCCTCTGGTTCCATCCGTTTATAAAACAGCATGTACGCACTATGTGTCTTTAAGGAAAAGAAAAATCTGTATAATTTTTGCTCTTCAGAGAGATTACTTAGGTCATAAATTTAAAAATACATTTATTTAGCAAATGAAAAGGGAAAAGGGTACCTTTTCAAAGGAGAAATCCATAAATTTATCAGTGACAGAATCATATGTCTTGGTCTGTCAAAAAGAGAACATGGGTTACTGAAAATATTCATCACAAACTTGTTGTTATGGCCTCATTGTGGATGGTTCTGGTCTCAGTATGCAAGGAAGTAACTCCACTTTATGCTCTCCATGCAGGGTCTGCCATCAATTATATTCCTTGCTCATCATTAAATAATTTTAAGTTTTCTGTAGTAGCTTACTTTCATTTTCCAGGATTGCATATGCAGTACTTTGACTCCTCTCATATTTCTCCAGACCATATCCTCTGTTTTTGGAGTCTGCAGATGTTTTGCAGATCTTCTGCACGGAATCAATTTTGTGTTGTACTTTGGCATAGCAACTTTACCAGGTGGAATTCTTTAGCTTGTTCATAGAATTGTTGTAATAAGCTGTTATTAAGCATGCAAATCAGGAAAGAACACGGTCGTAGGTTTTTACACATTGTGAATGTTTGCAATTGGTTTAACAGTGCTTCGTACTAAAGATGTGTAAAAATATTCACACTGCTGACAAAAGGCAAATTCATACAGCAGATTCAAAAGCCAAGGCAAGAAGCTGGTACAGTCTTGTAAAGTAATTTGCTTTTAATATTTATTTTAAATCCATGAAACTCCTTTCTCTGACCAAAAGAAAAACTATAAAAGGCATAGGTCTGAACACAAAACATTAAAAACATTTGTTTAGTGCCTGTTTTGTCAATTCTTTCCAGACAGTAGTCTGAAGAACTACATTCTCTGGCAGCTACTGGTGGTTCCTGAAGCATTAATATTAATATGTTTTATACTTATTAGTGCTTCTCAGTCAAGGATCTCAAATGCTTAAAAAAAGTTATCACTATTTTACAGATCAGGAAACTAATGTAATGTGAATAACAATATACACGAGTTATAAAGGATATCAATCACTATGCAACTGTTTATTTGGGCAAAACGCACCTGTATTTATAAAGTTAATTTATAGCTATTTCACTAATAGATTTTTTTTTAAAACATACAAAAAACAAATTTGGCTCTGCATTCCACACACAAAAATTCCCAATTCACCAAAAGAACTTTCCCCTTCATCATCTTATACTCCAGGCAACCCACTCTCTCTCAGGGAAAGTTTGGGCAACCAAATAGACTTTGCATCATGGCCTGAAAATAAACAGACTCAGGCTGCGCAGTCTCCTTGTCCCTACCACAACAAGTGTCTCAATTAAACTCTCTTAGCAGCTTCATATACATGTTGAACTGGAGGGGTATCAGGGCAGGGAAGAGCACTATAGAACCCATGTGACAGAGTCCTCAGGGCAGGGCTATTGTCCAGTACTACCTTCTGAGATTGTAATAAAAATAAATAAATAAATAAATAAGGGGGGGGGGAGGGAGAGACTAGAGGTAAAGGCTACAACTTACAGTCATTTCTCCACCAAAACATTCAGAAGCAAGCTGAGCAGAATCAAATGGTTTTACTTCAGCATCATTGAAAAGATACCTATAAAAAATTAAACTTTTGAATCAGTTGTCTGTTACCTCTCTTACAGTAGATGAAGAATACCAAGCTTCTACATCAAAAGAATGACATTTATACATGGAAGATAAAACTATGAGGAAGTAAAGGCAAAATTACATTCACATTGCCAGCTAATTTGTTATTTGTGAATCAGTAGCCAGGAAAATGACATGAGCACCTTCCCTCAAGAGAAAAAGGACTTATTATTCAGAGATGACTTTCCACTAGAATGAAAAGAAAATCATAGATTCTACCCCACAAAAAAAAACAAGTCTGGAGAGAAAAGGTTGATTGCTCAAAACCTTTGTACCCATTCTTAAGGGAAGAGAAGGAAGGCTTGGGCTTACTCTCAAAATACCACAACCAGACTTACACAGCTGAAGGAACATCTGACTGTAAAGGACTGACTTTTTCCCCAATGAAAAGGACCTAGTTCTCTTTTCTGAAAATCTAAATTTGTTGCCTGACAAGTTAGAGGGGGGTTGAATCCACTGTTTCTCACAAAAAATGATATTCCTTGTTAAGGGAAATACTATTTTACAGAGGTGGAACGAGATACCCTGCCTTCATGGACAAATCTCATAATGCTCAGCAAACAAATATAGAGGAGCTGAGGATCTTAGTGGACAGCTTGAGGGAGTCCAGCACAATATCATTTAGACTACTGAAAGCCAAAGGAACCCTGGATGGATAGATGGATCTAGATCTTGAATGTTTTAGGAAGGGAGCAAAATTTATTTTTCTAAGTCAGAGGACATCTTTTCTTCCTCTGAACCATGATCAACAAGAGAAGTCACAAAAACTTGAGAAGAAAAGGGCAATGCCAGAGTCTTAAAATCCAACACCACTAAGCAAGGAGATTGATACAAGGTTTTTCCAAAAGTAGCCCCATTAAAGAACATTACAATATGAATGTAATGTTCAGCTAAAATGGACATGACTGTTACAAGAGGAGGTCTCTGCCAAAGACCTCTGCTAGAGGACAGGGCCGGCTCTAGGCACCAGCAAAGCAAGCAGTTGCTTGGAGCGGCAAATTTGCAGGGGCGCAAGAATCCAGCATGGGAGCTGAGAACTAACAGGGGGCCCTGGGAGCTGTAGTTCCTTGGTTAGCTCCCTGCCTATAGAGCTGGCCCTGCAGCAGGGAAAGAACTACATTTCCCAGCATTCCCTTGGCCGCAATTAACAGGAAAGGGAGGAGGAAGGAGTGTGGAACTGAAACCTCATGCTGCATCTTGCTGTGACTGGTAGGGACAGAGCCAGCTCTAGGTTTTTTGCCACCCCCCACCCAAGCCCTGGGCTCCCCGCTGCACCCCTGTGTTGCCCTAGCCCTGGGCTCCCCCCTGCACCCCTGTGTTGCCCTAGCCCTGGACTCTCCCCCGCCCACACCCACTGCTGCCCCAGCTCTGGCCCCCACCTGCACCCCCCTGCTGCCCCAG